AATACTTTATATCAAGCGTTATCATTCTAGTGAACGTTTTACCACACTGCCAAGGACTAGGCGTGTTAAACGAATGAAAGATTGATGAGCGAACTTTGTATCTAGGTGGAACATTGTGTTTATATTACATAATCATGTAGTGTTGACAAAACTGTGTTTATATTGATAATAATGACGAGCTATCGGGTGACTCGCGCGACGAAATGGTCAATTTGTAACCGTGTAAGTAGTCAATGACTATTCAGTCATTACAACTCCATTCCCATTTTTTTGTATGAATTTTAGTAAATGATCTATGGATCATTACATGAGGCTAAAATAAATACGTTAAAATAATAAAAATAAGTAAAAAGGGACTAAATTTCTAACTTCAAACTAATTGGGTAACTTTTTTTCGTCACTTGGTCCTTGAAATCACACGCACTTAGGATTATGTGCCTAGCATCAATAAGACTTTGGTATTCGAAGGCGATAAGTTTTGTTTGATCCATCTGAGTAGGTCTGAGGCCGTGCAGTTCGTCGGCAACTGCTACTGCTCTCCGCCGAAATACACGTATCCCGACAATGGTACAGTTAACACAATTTCTACGGGCCAAGAGGTCATGTCGTGACTTCTCAGCTTGCATTCAGGGACAAAGGCCCACACAGATGGCCACTGACTCGACCCGGACGCGTTCGCAGTAAACACGGCTGTATATCACTGCACCAGTCAGTATAGCTGCACACATAGTGTACACATATACACTACGTTTTACAACTACAAACGTATACACGTTTATTATTGTCCTTTACTTCTAGATAACTATATGTGGCTTTGATTTTAGAATGTCATACTTTCACCACATATTTTCTCTCTTTTTTTTTTTTAATTTTTTTACTTCTTTTTACTATCTTCAAAAATGAAAAAAATCACTAATTTTGGAATCGTTTAAATGTTTTTGAGAAAAAAATTATTTTAGTCTCGTATTTTTTCGGTGATCCCACATAACCTCTTTCCATTGGTAAAGCTTCGCGCGCCATCATTCACTACAGTCGATGTCTTTCACCAAGTAAAAAAATGTTAAAATTAAGTAATAAATCCATGAAAAAGGAGTTTTTTTAAAATAATGATTGTTTTAGAATAATTTTAAATAATGATGGGACAAAATGTTCAGAAAATCATTAGTACCCAAAAGTAACTTTTTTCACCTGAAATTACATATATTGTACTTGCAAAAATTGCCGATTCGTCAGAAAATTTTTTCTGGTCCATAATATTGCTGGTGTTTGCGACTCGAATTATTAGGAGTCGTACGTATGTTTGTCTGACGGCTTAGATCTATCGCAAAAACTGGCGATCGATCGATGCATCTATTTGTGACCATCAAAAAACTAGCAAATTATATAAATATAAAATTGGCCGGGATCTACGCTTCCATATTATACTCCTTTGAATACTTGTATGACATCAAAAACATGCATTTCTTTCATGTTCGCAGAAAATTTCTTGTTTACCGCTGCGTTCGCATCATACTTGCATACGCTCGTACGCTAACCTCAATTCGCGGTACCAGAAAGTGCGACCCATGACTCAGAAAAGGGGGCATAAATGTGAACTTAGCACAGTGCTATAAAATGTTGTATGATCCTCTTGCCATGGGGACACTTTTCCACCCAGCTATTAGGACCTAAACTGCGCTATGCCAAAAAGTGTTACTATACAAGTGCCATAAGTAACACTTTTTGTCACGGCGTAGTTTAGGACCCGAGGGCAGCGAAGGTCCTAATAGCTGGGCCGAAAAGTGTCCCCTATGGTTCGAATATCGTATAACATTTTATAGTACTGTGCCAAGTTCACAATTATGCCCCCTTTTTCCGAGCCATGGGTCGCACTTTTTACCTCTCTTTATTAAAATCGATTTGAAATTGAATAGATGGATTCGATGTGATCGTGGTGGTAGCTAAAACTAGACTGACTGATATGCAGCTCAGAGCCGCCGAACGACAGTATCTTAACGACACTGGGAATCACGCACATACATGGCCTTGAGATGAAAGGTGTTAGCGCGCGTACAGTACACGTTACGACGCGAGAATCAAGTTAAAAACAAATACATCGCGTGCCGGCTGGCGTGTCGAATTTCATGCGTAAAATCTTTATGCTAGATACAATAAAGCGAAAACAAAATACGCGCGTCTCACTAGCTGCTGCTATTGCCATGTATGTGTGTGTATTTTGTATATGCTCGGTGAGAACTGAACAGGTTAGCGCACGAGTGTATGCGAGTGTGAAGCGAACGCAGTGGTGCCAGAATGTACGACTTATGCAACAAAAAACGTGTCATACATGTGAACTTATGCCACGTAGTGTTATAAAGTACTATTACATCATTTACAAGTATTTACAAAGAAATTGCGAAACCTTCAAGTAAAATTTTAAATCCGGATTTCTGAAACTTCTACTAAATATTTCTTAAAAAAATTAAAAGCTGTCATCCACCTTTTTCGTTTTTTTTGGAATATTTCCCTTTTTTCTAAGTTTTGCGGTGTATTCCTGATGAGAGAAGAATTTCTTCTAAAATATTTTTTAGAACTTACGTGTTTCATAATTTTATTTTCAAGCCAAAAAATCCTGAATACTCTTTTGACCCTTTTAAAGTCCCAACGAAGAGTTGCGTTAATTTTAAAATAATAGAGCTATATTGGGGCTAAGCCATAATTAGCGTGATGGTCAAAAAATTTTTTTTTCTCAAATTATGTACTTTTGAAGAGTACATTGAAAAGTGAAAATCCTGAAAGTTTTAGCCCTCTAGGTCCAACCCTTTTGGATTTTCAGGGTCTTAAAGTTGAATTTTTTTTTCTGCTGATATTCTGCTTGCAATTCTGATTTTCTTGGGTTAGTATGAAAAAATTGTTGAATCATGGTTTTTAATGTAAAATTCGATGTAGAATTCAAATTTGTACTTAAAAATCATATTAACAAGTTAAATTCCCATAAAAATGACATTTTTATGCATTAACCATATAACTGTACAAAAATAAACATGTTCGTATCCAGCGATATGGCCAATATTGTAATATGTTCATCGATACATCAAATTACAACTTCTGATAAATTTTGGTTATCGGCAGACAAACAGAATTCATTATTGAGCTTAATATGAGTCAAGAAACATGGTTTTTCTCTAATTTTCCTTGATTTTTGACTCATATTAAGCTCAATAAAGAATTCTGTTTGTCTGCCGATAACCAAAATTTATCAGAAGTTGTAATTTGATGTATCGATGAACATATTACAATATTGGCCATATCGCTGGATACGAACATGTTTATTTTTGTACAGTTATATGGTTAATGCATAAAAATGTCATTTTTATGGGAATTTAACTTGTTAATATGATTTTTAAGTACAAATTTGAATTCTACATCGAATTTTACATTAAAAACCATGATTCAACAATTTTTTCATACTAACCCAAGAAAATCAGAATTGCAAGCAGAATATCAGCAGAAAAAAAAAATTCAACTTTAAGACCCTGAAAATCCAATAGGGTTGGACCTAGAGGGCTGAAACTTTCAGGATTTTCACTTTTCAATGTACTCTTCAAAAGTACTTTTATGTCCGGACTATTTATTAAATAACACCCGAAAATTTATTTTACTCTAACTGCACCAAAATCTGAGATACACGTTTAAGGTTTGACACAAGACTTTTATTATAGAGTTTGCACATATAAAATGGATAATATATTTTTTTGTTACACTTTTAGTTATAATCTACTACGCGATTGGCTCAGCTGTAGCTCAATTATAAAAACTAGGATAAGGTGTTAGCGCGTGAAGACCGCAAGATGTTAGTGCGTCTGTCTGCGAGAGCTGAGAGCCGACCGTCCGAGATTACAAAGATGCGCGCTATATATAATAATCGTTGAATCCCGAATTACAGTGGGGCGATATTGGAAGAATACCCGAATTCGCGTAAGCTATCCCGTGACTAGCGCGTGGTATGATAACCCGTAAATTACATAACTCTTTTTATTACCCCTTTTAATAACGTTATATCGAAAAACTCGTGGTCGAGAAACAGCGTGACGAGATTCGATTTTTTGGATATAACAGTACATAATTTTAGAAAAAAAATTTTTTTGACCATCACGCTAACTATGGCTTAGCCGATTGATAGAGGCCCTCGTTGGCTGAGTGGGTAAGCGAGCGCACTCAACCGAAGCAGTCACTCTCGCTCGAGCTCTTGCAATCCCAGCGTGCGCAGCCTTCGGACTTACCAGAACTTGTAAACTCTTGCAATGCAACACTTTTTTGGAACTCGAGAAAAGTGACAGCTTTTGGAATCCCAGAGCCTAGAAGTCGAGCATTCAACTTGTCTTTCCTCTCGGATTGCCAGTGACACTAATAACTCTACGATTTTTAACTTATAGTTGGTTTAGGCAGGGACTTCCTTGACCTGATAAAGAACTTATGTTCATGCAGCAAGCATAACAGAAAATATATTTTATCTTTTATCGCCTTCCTATAGTTCACACTTCGGCCGCCTGGTAGCCACGGAGCAAGAATTGTGTTCTCTCAAGCGACTGGACCCCACCAGCGCTTAAGAGTCTGGCAGATCTCCCTCTCCCCGGAGAGGAGCTACCATCCGAGCTCGGAACTCCAGCAAAGCTTGGAATTTCAGCCTCGCTTGGAAGCACTTATGAGTCAGACGATCTGCCATGCTCGAGCTGCCCTCTTCAATGCCACTGACAACAGCCACTTCGACGTTGTTCCATCATTAACCCACGCATAACAATATTATTTTTCAAAGACTTATTCAACCAAGATATGTACTTTTCAGTGGTCATATGCGCTAATTGTTTAAATTTATTTTTAAAAAATGCACAAATTTTGTCAAGTTGATTATAACAGTCTATTGCGATTAAAAAAGTATCGAAAAATGAATGGAAAATGAACGATATTTTGGCTATTTTCAGCTATTTTCACTATGATTCACTTACTCTGTTTATATGTAGGTTCACGATGGCGTGTGAAAACTCTAACATATAAGATAAGTAAATATCCAAAGAATTTAAACAGAGAATCAGTTGATATCGAAATAAAAAAAGCATTTTCAATTTGGTCAAACCACACTGATTTAGATTTTCAACATAAAAAACATGGCCAGGTAAGTGCATAAGTTCCTTTCTATTATAACCGAAATATTTATTAGTTTTTTGGATAAAGTGCATAGAAAAAGCCTACGCTGGTCATTATTTTCTCAGTTTATGGAGTCTCTTGTTCCTGACTTTTGCATCACTAGTTCATGAACTATTATCATTAACTGAAAGACTCAGAGCTGTGTTATAATTACCACGACCTTGCTTACTAACAATTATAAGTTTTTTTATCATTCTCATTTCTGCAATGAGCGCTTTCTCTAACTCCTGTACATGATCAGAAGGTTTCAAAGGTCTCCTTATGGTACACGGGCAGAAGACATTAATTAGTAAAGATTGCTATGATCGCTGGGAGAAGTGACTCAGGGTTGAACTATTGTTGGATCTATTTATAATGTAGTAACTTTCATCGTACTCTATTATGGACTTCATTGTAATTGTAGTAAAAACTTTTTTCAGTGACCATAGCAATTTTTAATTTATGAAAATTGAAGAAAAAACCCATTTTTTCGATTGAACTGATATTATTTGTTTTAATTTTTTTTTGTTCTATATTTATGTACATAACATTAAAAAATACACTAAAAGCCTTTTATTTTTCCATTTTTAAAAAGTTCGTAAGTAGTCTAGAACCAAAGTTATAAAGTTTTAAAGATACTGGTTATAAATTAACTTAAAAATCGGTTCATTCAAACATTTCCCTGTTTAAAAAAAATCGCTGGATTTCCAGTTGAAAAATCGAGCAGGATATGACTGGAAATCGAACTCGATTTGACTAGAAATCGAGCTGTATTTGACTGGAAATCTTGCTCGATTTTTGACTGGAAATCCAGCTCGATTTTCGATTTGAAATCTAGTTTGATTTTTGATCTGAAATCGATCGATTTCCAGTCCAAAATCGAGCTAAATTTCTAGTCAAAAATCAAGCTAGATTTCAGTTTAAAAATCGAGCTGGATTTCAGATCGAAAATCGAGCTGGATTTCCAGTAAAAAATCGAGCTAGATATCTAGTCAAATACAGCTCGATTTCTAGTCGAATCGAGTTCGATTTCCAGTCCAATCCTGCTAGATTTTCCAATTGGAAATCCAGCGATTTTTTTTAAACAGGGTTTGGAAAATCCCGAGATCACATTCCAATAAGTATCTTTAAAATTTCTTTTTACTATCACAACCATAAATTTTTACAATATTTTTACAAGTACGTTCTTTTGTAATTTCAAGCATTTTTACTCCATTACCTTTAAAAGTCTTATATTACGTTTCTAGGTACGAAAGTTTGGCATTGAATCCATGCGTGAGATTGCTAGGCGATGCGCAGCCGAGATTAATATAAAGCAAAATTAATTCAATCAGTTGAATCGAGAAAATAGATATTTTCTTTAAGTTTTGATGATAATACATAGTTTTAAATGTACAAATTAGTTTTTATGTCTCTTAAAACTATAATTAGTTCATAAGTATAGTAGTATAGATCTTAATGTATGAAATCTAGTCCATTAACGGTTCACAGATTTTCTCCTTCCTTAAAAAAATCATGTGAAGTCGCTTTATTCGTCACCTCATTGGTCGAGGAGTAACTGCGCCTCGCTTCATGATTGGTCGGAATCTCACGTCGGTCGTTCATGTAATTTTTTTAGTGGGAAAACTTGAATGTGTCGTTTGCTCAAATGTTTATATTTTTAACTCATCAGTTATTTCAATTTCATAATTATCATTTTTACTTGATTAGTTGGCGCGCGCGGGCGCGCCTCATATCACTAGTAACACTTAAATTTTTCATGAAACTTCAGACAGCAGTGTCTCTGTTTCTGTATGACTTAGAATGTTTTTAAAATAACCAACTTGAAGGTGATTTTCTGCACTTTAAAGCTGTATAAATAGTAATATGGATTTAAGTGAGTTCAATATGTTTAAAATGAACAAAACCTAGAAAAAAAAACTTCAAATATCAGTCGTAAAAGTTTAATGCACTTTAAGGGGGCATTATACTAGAGTAGCAGCTAGGATTTTCGATAAAACAGTTTTATTTTTTGTGGTTTTCTTTATTTTCGGAAAACTTATACGCTCTTCACGTTCACTGTGCGTTAATGTAGTCCATAATAATATTATCAATCAATGGATTAAAAAATATATTGATGTTGATTTATTTGATTTTTTTTGTCAAAGGTACATATTGAAATCAAATTTGAACTCGGTGATCATAAGGATGGTGATCCATTTGATGGTCCAGGAGGAACACTTGCTCACGCGTATTTTCCAGTTTATGGAGGTGATGCACACTTTGATGATTCAGAACAATGGACCATTAATAGTTTTCGAGGAACAAATTTATTTCAAGTTGCCGCACATGAATTTGGACACTCCTTAGGATTAAGTCATAGTGATATAAGATCTTCATTGATGGCACCGTTCTATAGAGGTTATGATCCCAATTTCGTACTGGATACCGATGACATACACGGAATTCAGGTTTGTATTTCGTATCAAATATAAAAATTTTTCTGATATAACTTGAGCAGCTTTTATGCTATTTTAACTAGTTCGAACAATTAGCTAGTTTTTTCATTCTTTTTAATTCCTTTATCATTAATTATAATTATTAGAGCCCGGATTATATACAAATAAAAGCCAAAATATGCATGCAAATATGCACGAAAAATCTTAAAAATATGCAAAAAATATGCAAAAAAATATGTTGAAAATATGCAAAATCAGTTAAAAATATTTGAAATAAGCAAAAATAATAGAAATATGCATTTATGTGGTTTTAATTATTTATTTAAACAGAAGTTTCATTAATATTGTAGTACATATGGACTACCATGTATTTTTCCAAATTTTCCATCGTTAAACTGCGCCTTTTATCATTTAACATAACTTTATAGGCTGAAAATGATCGTTCAACGTCAACCGAAGTGGTAGGGCAATATTTGAAATTTGGAATTATGCTTGGAGACACAATATCAGTCAATTCAATATTTTTTTGAGTGTTAAGAAAATCATCTATTTGACATAATTTGGAATATCCTGGATCATTTGCAAAAATATTATCTAATTTTTCTTTAATTTCTCCTAAATAGTCTGAAATTTTTGAGATTTGAGTTGTTTTTACGAATGCTTCTTTAATAATAAAAATTGCATCTTGCAGAGGCAAATTTTGTGTTTCCAGTTTAGTGACGAAAAGTGGGTATTTATAATAGCTAAATCTCTTCTGATATTGTCGTCTTGGAAAGCTGCTGAACATTGCGGAATTGAGATTGCCTCAGAATCTTGGAATTGCATAATAACATCTCTGAATACTTCAAAATTTTCATGATAAAACTAAGTCGCTTCAATCCACGTCCCCTAACGAGTAATAACAGATTCTTAACGTTGTTAAATGTGGCGCGAATTTTTTCAGCTAAACGATGAAGAGCATGAGCAAAACATTAACATGAATCATGTTCGGATAAAATGGTTGCAACGCTCTTCCAGCCTTCAACGTGTACGGTGCTGCATCACTCAAAAAAATTAAAACTTTTTCATCCGGAGAGTCGTTTTTTCAAGTTGACGACACGAAATTAGGTATGAAGGTGAAGGTTCTGTATTTACAGATCCAATGACCAGATTTTCTATTATATACCAACCACTACTATCGGTAGTTTCGTCGGCAGAGATCCAAAGTAGTTTATTATCTAGTTTTTTTCGTATCTGATTCATAGTTTCTTGATACACTTGGGAAACGTAATTTTTGCGCAATGTCGATTCATCTGGTATATTTTGATGTATACAATACTTTTTGAGAAAACCATTTAGATGTGGATTACTTGATTTGTCACAATGTTGTTCATTTTGCTGCGGTGTTACTACCACTTGAAATTGTTGCGTTTGTCGTGGTTCTGTACTGCGCAATCTAACTTGATGGGTTAATGTATCAACATACTCTAATGACATTGTAGTTCTGTACTGAATAATTTTTAATTTGAAAATTCGTAATGAAAATCATACCTGTTTAACGAGACATTTTCTTTCGCACTTGACCCCTTTTTCACAGACCTGACAATACAATGTTTTTCCATCATATGTAAAAACATTAGCATATGGTTTGATCCAAGCAAGCGCATGGGTTCTATCAGGTATCATATTTAATACCGTATAGCGTAGTACTGCGTAGATTTTGAAAATCTTTGGTCGTTTATCACTTTATTGATTTTCATGTTGAATATTTAGGTATATTAACCTCTAGAGGGCCGGAAAGCCAATATATTGGCGCACCTGTTGATCGACCCTTTGCTCATGATCGATCAATGATTTAAGATACCTTTTATGCCAGTTTTCTATTGATGATATGACCTCTGAAATCCCGGCCCTCTAAAGGTTAATTTTGGCTCATCAATACATACGTATGTTTATTTACTATATTGTATAATGTACAATATGTATGTATTGACTGTGGCATCCGGCATAGCCTTGCCAAATAAACTAGTAATAATAATAATAACATATTTGCTATTTCTATTATTAATGATAGTTTTGCCGTTCAAAGACGTTTAAAAAATCTGAACACAATAGCTCATGCTAAATTTGTAAAAACTTAAAAACTTGAAAATTCGACGCAAAATATGCATAAATAATATTGCATATGCATTTAGAAAAAAACGGCAAAATATGCAATTTTATATGAAACGTATGCATTCACATATAATCCGGGCTCTAATAATTACATTATATTATATTATATTATGGATGATAATTATCATTTATAATCATAATTTTTGAATGTACACTTCAAGAGCTCTTAGTTTCATTTAATTTTCGGAACTATCATGATTGACATATGATTTAGCCCATACAATTTTCAATCGTGGATTTCCTCATGGAATCCAGATCAAATTTATCGGAAGAGCTTTCTCAAAGAATTGCTAAATTATATATGAAAAAGTTAATAATATTTGAAAATAATGTAAGTGATTTCCTTTTAAACTGCATGACTTTTCATAAATAATGTAAAAACTAGATAATCACCGGTCATATCTTCATGGGCTTATAGGCACTATTAAATCGATATTTCAACGGGGCCTACAAGCCCTTGAACAGTTGAATCTTCTATCATTCATTACATTAAATTTTGAATATGTTATTGTTTAATGATTTGTAAAACATAATAATTTTAAGTATGTTCAAAACAGGCTTTGTATGGACATAAAAAAATGAATCACACTGAAACTGCTATTCAACCACAAGTTGTTAATTCAGTATCCATCGATGAAAATTTGTTACTTTGTTCAGATTCAAAAATAGATACAATTTTTACTTCTGCTGATGGACACACCTATGTATTTAAAGGTATATTTCATATCTTAAGATTACCAAATTTTTAAAAAAAAATTATTTATAAATACGTAAGGGCAAATAACTGACAATGAAGATTTCCAAAAATTTAACGAAAATTGTCTTGCGGGGCTCCACCTTTCGTTGGCCAAGAGTCGATGGTGGCTCAATGCGTGTGTACGCTCTCGCATCGCTAGTGTATTCTCACGTATCGCAAGTTTCATTTCAAATCGTGTTGGAAAGAGCTAGTACGCTGCACGTGTGACTTACACGGGTGTTTGGGGCGATTTATAGGTGAACTCGGCAAAAATGACACGAGTACTTTCCCTTTAACTCGGCTGTTCGCGTGCGGGTGCTGCTGCAATTAATACACAAATAAGTGCGTCGAATGAGCTGCCATGCCGACAGCTATTACGCTCCCCTTGCCGAATATGGTCGAAACAAATATCATTATTCTATGGTTTACGTATACGTAATTTATATACAAATATAATTTTAATTATATACAATTATATCTCACATTCACATACAAGCTATTCCATTTTCCCTAATAACTTAGAAAATGGACAAGCAAGCGAGCTTTAGGGTCAAGCCTACAGTATAATTTTTTAATGTTATTGAAATTATTTTTAGGGCAATATTTTTGGAAACTTTCTTCAGACGGAATCAATGATGCACAACCTCAACTTATCAGTACAATTTGGAAAGGCTTACCGGGGAATATAGATGCTGCATTTACTTACAAAAATGGAAAAACATATTTTTTTAAAGTGAGTTAAAATCGAATTTTCGTTGTATTTAAATCTCATTTGAGTATTTTTTTAACTATTATATAGCTTTGAAAAATTGATTGAAGTTTTTACCTGGCTTATAGAGCATAAATATTTTGGACATTGAATTATAGCTTGCGCGGAAAAGAAGCAGTGAAAAACTTGCAGAGTATTTGTGAATATTACGAGGTGAAGTCAAGCAAATAACATGTGCTCTGTTAGTTGCGTATAATTGCATAAATTTGCAGCCTTTAATGCTTTCTGCCTGTCATCAATTTGTTTCATGTATGGCTCAATCTAGCCAAATTTCTTTTCGAATCGTTGGTCGAATTGATCGAGTAGTGGGAGCCAATGCTCGTTTTTGCTGGTACATGAATTCAGATAACTTGGCATAGGAGTAGTCCTAGTTGAGTTGATCGGCAAGGCTCAAACTAATCACTAATGATGTCGAAAAATTGGCCGCTGAAGTAGTCGTCGTTGATGATATAGTTGCCGTTGAGTAGGTGAGAATTCAGAAGATGGTGACTGTGGGTATTGAATCAATGTTCTACTCATATCGCTTTGTTGGTATCCTCGTTAGAGATTTAAATTACTAACAGCGCAAAAACTCACACAATAGTGTACGCGAAAGTAAATAAACAGTCGGAGCCAGGCGGAATAATAACTAAATTGATCTAAAGAGGTTATTGTGTTTTATGAATTTTCGCTATGAGCAACCTTTGAGGCTCAAAATGCCCTTAAAACTGAGGTAGCAGGCGAGCAAAAGCAAAAAACTTCACGCACACCAAAAATGTAAATTTTTAGGCCAAAATCAAGGCTGTGCTTGCGTCTATTTTTGCTGTTTCATGCAGGAGTGTGAACCAAAAATTTGCTATAGTTTGTAAGTCCGATGACAGTGAAGACTCTGTCGAGAGCCTCCCTGTCAGTCAAATTCACATTTGTCGGGAGTCCAGTGAGTAGGATCCCACATGGGTTCGACAGATGTAAACTAGTCGATAAAGGAAGTAAGCTAGGCAGGATAGGATCAAGGGCAGAGGCAGGGGCAGAATTAGCAGATTTTCGCATTCCGACAATGTCAGCGCGGATGTCTGCTATTTCAGCTGCCTGCTGCTCCGACTAAGTCTCAAGAGCCAAAATCCGGCCTTCAAGCTGAGACGTCCACGCCTCGATCACCGTAAGGTGCGTTGAATGATTGTCAAGTTTCGTGTCAAGTCCTTGAAGAAAGGCAGCGAGTTGAGGTGGAAGCTCGTGCTGAAGTGAATCTCCGACACTTGTCATGTTAGCAAAAGTAAACTGTAATTAAAAAACACATACATTAAATAGCGCCCGAATAAACTTTTTCGTCAATTTTCTTCAGTGATTACGAAGCGGTGTTGAACAGTCTTATTTTTGTATGTTATTTGAACGTTTATTTCACCTTTGATTTTAGGTAAGCGGTTATCAAAATATCTTAGTAGCCTGTTGCCACTTCTGAGTGTAAATTTACTCAAATATTTTTTATAAGGAGAGGGACAACCGAAATTTCCGCTCCGCTATCCACCTCCATGGAGAAATTAGGATTATCATTAATCTGTACAATGATATCAAAAAGACTATTAAATTTCATTACTATTTATATTCTATACGTTCATATAACATAATTCCGACAATTCACGTTCCTCCTCTACAATGGGGTTCGTCGAGTTTGAAGCATTTTTGCAAACTTTTGTTAAATGGCCTTGCTTAGCACAAATCTTACATTTGTATTTTTTATATTTACAATCACGGAAATCGTGATTGTCCTCGCTGCATGCGTTGCAGACCTGCCGCTGCTTCTGCTGTTGATACTGCTTGAAATTGACGCTCTTGCTGCCTGACTTTCTGGAATCCACGCTTGACTTTGCCGGTTGACTCTTGTAGTGGTATATCTTGTTTACCTTCGCGGTGGTTGTAGATAGCATGAGTGATGCCTCTTTTTTCAGCGCAATCTTCAGTGTTTCTACTAAAAGTGTTATGTGATTTTCTTCAAAAATACGATCGAGAATTTTTCTTTCCTTGAGGCTGCTAATAAACTGGTCCTTTATGTAGTTATCAAGCTCCGCGCCGAATTGACATCGCACGACACCTTTCTTTACGCGAGTATACAATTGACTAATGCTTTTACTCGGTCCTTGACTAAGCCGTAGGCAATAAAATTGTCCAAGTTCTTTGTAAACAGAAATACGTGTCGAATAAGGTTTTTTTTAGAATATCACACAACTGCTGGTACGTTTTGTTTTGTGGCAATGTTGGTCTACACAAATCAGGAAGTGTTTTATAGACAGTAGATCCAACTGATGTTAGTAAAACTGAAACTTTGCGTTGATCTCGACGAAATTCGCTCTGAAATATTGCTCCAACCGTTCATTGTAAATACTCCAGCCCGTTCCGCCTTAGAACTTTTCTATTATGCCGATATTGCCGCTTACAATAACTACGGATTTGTTGTCCGGTGCATCAGTTGGCACGATAACCCATGCAAACATTCGAAACTCATTTGAAATCGGATGGTCTTTTATCATTTATGAATAGGGTCATACCATTATCGAAGCGAAATAAGTAAATTGAGAGAGTTAAACAGCTGCCAAAAATAAAATAAATCCTAATAACCGGCATAATTTAGATTAAATTTATTTTAAAAATAAGTTTTCATCATATAATTGAAAAAAATGCAATTATGAGTTCATTATATTCATGATTAATAATCTGCATTATATATTTCAGGGATCGAGATATTGGCGGTACATAGATAAAATAAAGGATGGAGATTATCCAAAGTATATTGATGAAGGCTTTACAGGTATTCCAGATAACATTGATGCTGTAACTGTTTGGACTGGAAATGGAAAGATTTATTTTTATAAAGGTTCAAAATTTTGGAGATTTGATCCTTTTGATAAGCCCCCTGTAAATAAATCTTATCCAAAACCAATAGCAAATTGGCTAGGTATCCCTGATCACTTAGATGCTGCATTTTCTCACCATGGATATACTTATTTTTTTAAAGACGAGTCTTATTATCGTTTTAATGACAGAAATTTTGCTGTAAGTGTAATGACTGAATGTATTTATTCCTTTTATGCTTTTTATATATTCTATATTAATTCAAAACAGATCGACATCGCAGATCCTCCATTTCCTCGTTCAACTGCATATTGGTGGTTTGGTTGTAGATCAGTTGGGAAAGAAGCACTTTTAAATATTCAATGGAAACAAATACGTAACGATAGTCAAGCTTCTAATGTAAATAAATTAGAACATAAAGGATTAGTATTTGGTGATGATAGTGACTATACATCAGAAGATAATATAGCTTTAGACGAGTTGACTTGAATTGTATTAACAGATTATTTTGAATAAAATGAATACTGACTGAACAATTATATATTTATATAATATATTTATAATAAACTGTTTAATATTCCCAGAAGTGCTAAAATCCTTTCTATCTCTCCTTGAAAACTTATCTTTTTGATTATAATGAGTGTTTAGTCGGTCACTTCAAAACAGGGTTGCTGGAGTGAGAAAGGATGGAGAGCGAGAACGCGTCAAATATATTGTAAATAGTGTTTGTTCTTCGTGTCTGAAAAGTCTGTCGTCTAGTAATTTGTCAGCCATTATACACAAAGCATCTTGCTATCGCTATATTCTTTTCCGTTATTCTCACTCCAGCATGCTTTATTATATTTTGTTAGCAATAAATTTTTTATTGTTGGAAAGTGCGTCTGTGCTTTGATTTTCCCTTCTTATCGCATATATCGCTAATTCATCGCGTCGCATTCATTCTTTTTGTCCCGCTACGGTAAATAATGAGAGAAATCGATATTTGATTTCCATAGGTGGATTTTCATTAAATTTCATTTTATTTCAACGTTTTTCGATCTTTAATAGTATGAGCGTCACATTATAGTATGCGGATGTACACATACGCCCCAAGGCGGTAAATACTATACCATTTCTCTTCGCAGAGAGTGACCTTTCAGACTCACGATTTTGCAAATGTAGATGACACCTGAATGTTTCTAGTGTTATAATTAGACATTCGCCTTGACAGTGTAACGGTAAATTATAATTTACGCGATAAGTCGCGAGCACAAATTTGAATTTAGGGAAAAGCAAGTTGCGAGGCTTGTCATACCTCACGTAAGACGAGCAGGAGATAATATTAATTGAGCGGCCTACGATTGTTTGTCTTAGCGCGCGAGTTCTCACTTCGAGTCCGAGCATCTTACTGTGTTTGTGAACCTTGCGTACAATCTAATCAATGCGGATCTGCGTCGATCGACCACCCTGTACGAGTCGATCCAGTGAACGGCTTTAACTGTCATCTACGAGTAAGCGACTAAGTATCAATTATCAATATTTTGTTTTTGTTAGATTATTGATTATTAATTTTCACGCGAATAATTCTTTATTTTATTATTCCTGACTAATTATTCATTTCATACTGTCTATTCAACCCTTTCCAGCCACACGATCACTTGAGTAGCAATGGCTCGTCGAGCACTATTACGCAGGATCATTGCCGGAGCTTATTACTCGTACGATCATTACTCGTGCGATATGAGCTAGCTTTAAGGCATTCCGCGTTACATCAGCAAAAACTATTACAGTACCACTGTACTTGAAGCGTATACACGTCACATTTTCCGACCGGACACAATACATACTTTTTATAGCACGAATCGTAGAGATAAGAATTGACCAATTTATAAATGTTCAGTAAATTAAATTTTTTTAATTAATGAGCTTGAAATATTTTTATGAACTCAAGGGCAATAAAAAATGTAATACTTTAAATATTAAAGAAATTTATTTTTTGCATACTTCAAAATTACTTTTCAAACACCATCTATTATAGAAATTTATCAACTGTCTCTTTTAGAGTTGCTGTTCTATTGAAAATGACCTGAAAAAGAAAGTTTTTCAATTTTATTACAGTATATAGTAATAACGAAGAGACTAGGTCCTCTGCGCTCTTTGCACGTCAACCTCCCGTTTTATTTATCTTTGGTTATAATATGTTATAGTAAAAAATATTTAACAAAAGGCTTGCCTTTTCTTGCAAGTAAAATTAAAAAAAAATCATGACCAAAAAAATACAAAACAGAAGTTTTTATCGAGTACAGTAAGTTCGATTTACCTTATTCTTTTTAGTATCAATATCAACGGTGAAGAAGCCAACACGTTCAAATTGATAATTTTGTAAAGTTTTGACCTGACGCAAAAAATTTGAGTCACCATAAACATACATTTCTTTTTTACTTTTAAAGTTAACGTCACTCAGATAACCATTAACGACTTCATTAGAATCTTCTGGATTTTTGTGCTGAAATCTAAAAGAATGGTATTTAATTTTGATTATTGACAAAAATTAGGTTTATTGAAGCTTATAAAATATAACATGAATTTCAAATAATGCTTTGAAAAATTAGTGAGATTTTAGATTCAACTCAATTGAGAGAGTACATTACGCAATGGTGGCCGGCTTTAGTATTTTACACGAGTATCAAGTTTACATCCTGATAAGCGGAGCGAATATTGTATTGACGCGAGTATCATTTGTAGAATATGTGAAAATAAGTGATACTGCACTTGGAATTTAGTATAAATTCAGTATTTAGTAAAAACGTTTGGAAAAATTTATAAAAATAAAATTGAAAAAATTTGGTATTTGCAACGATTTAAAAATGTCAACGCCCTCTCTCAATGATTACGTTTTCATAAATTATTATGAATAAAATAAGATATTTTTATCTGATTCAGATAAGTTTACGAAGAAAATTACTTACAGACGATCATATATCTTTATTTTAGCTAATGATGGCTGAGAGACCCACTGGATAAAAGCCCGGGGCTTTGTACAAGTATTCAGATTGTCTTGTTTCACAAAAATGTTAGTTATTGATCCATTTGAATCTCTTTCTACTTCCAGTACTGTCAAAACAATTCCAATATACTTCAGGCCCACAGATTGATTGATAGTTAGTCTTTTGAAGTTACTTGTTGTGCTCTGAAAAATATATTACAATATATTACGAAATGAATCTAACTAAAAAAAAATTTGAATGTAATACAGTGTATTATTGAAAGTATATTTATTATTTTATGATTTTATGTATAAGGATGCTGCAAAATAGCTATTGTATGCTTTTGGACGATTCTCTGTTAAATTGATTGGCAGAAAAAAACTATTTTCTGCAAATATGGAAAACTTGTTTTACATATCAGAAATATCCTTAAACTAGAATTTTCAAAAAAGGTAATAAGCAGTCGCAATAAGGGATCGTTGAGCTAAACCGAGCATTAGAGGAGTATCTTGCTGAACAGCGCATCAAAGTAAAATTTTGTTGAACGAAATGTTGAATGGAAATTGAACTGAAAGTTTGCTGCTCGGAGACATCGATTTGTCAGTGAATACGGGGATCACTAGACAGCAGATCTTTTTGTCGTGCTAAAAAGTCACGCTTAAAACTTATAAAATGATTTTATTATCATACAGAATCAAAAATAAGTATAAAGAACCTCTCAAATCTGGCAGAGTAAGTATTATAAAAACTACAATTGCAACAACTAACGTATTTTTGGGTGACCTAAGATTTGACCTTGAATATAATATCAAAACTACAGTGAACTAAAAATAGATTTTTCAAATGGAAAGACTAGTTTTTATTGCAAATTTAAAAAGAGCGAAAATTTTAACGTTTTTTTTATATTTATTAAGATAATGTTTATAGGGTAACATTTACGCATGAAGGAGTAATCTTAGTTTGAATTTTTCGAGGAAAATCGAAATGCTTTCTAATTGTTCGGTGCAGACTTTTGTTTACATTTCCAACAGGATTATACACGAGCTTGACAACTAGTAGTTCAGTAGTTGTTGTACAACTACTTGAAACAATTATTAAAAAATTTCGATTTTTCTGAAAATTTAAATCAAAATTAGAGCTTTTTTCGTAACTGTAGCACCATTAAAATGACCTCTACATGAAAAACAAGTCATATTGAAGAAAAATTTTTTTCGTTTTATTTCAAAACTTTTTGCGCAGTATTCAAGGTTTGATCTTTTCCTATATTTTAATTTGAAAAAAAGATTCTAATGAGTAGAATTATCGTTGCACTAAAATCAAATAAAAAACTTATTGTTAATTCAAATAATTGTTGAGTTGTTAAACAATTTCAAGGTTCTTACGAGTAAATATGGTAGTACTTTAGCTCTATGACTGCTATAAAATTTTAACTATTATCATTTGAAATTCAAGAATTGTGAAATTGTTGTGAAACTGAATACATACTTCTCGAAAATCTGATGAATCAATATATACTATTTTGTCAAACACAACCTTATGGTAACTTCCTTCTGGTTCATGCGGAAAATCAGGTACTTTAACCATGATTGGTTTTTTGAATGGGTAATTTACTATTGTTATTTTTAATGGTTGTAAGACAACCATTTGTCGAGGTGCATTAATATTCAAATTTTCTCTGACAGCAGCTTCAAGCATGCTAGGATCAACGGTTGTTTGAGCTCCAGTTAAGCCCATTTGAGCGCAAAAATTATTTATTGCAACTGCTGGGAATCCTCGTCTTCGCAATGCTGATAGTGTGAACAGTCTTGGGTCATCCCAGTGGCTAACAATTTTTTTTTCAATTAATTTTGAAATTTTTCTTTTTGATACAACGGTATAACTTATATTCAACCGTCCATATTCCCACTGCACAGGACAGTAAATATCAAGCGCATTGCACAACCAGTAATAGGAAGATCTTCTAGATTGAAATTCTTTTGTACAAAGTGAATGCGTTATATTTTCTAAACTATCACATAAGCAATGCGTAAAGTCATATGTAGGATAAACGCACCACTGATCATCTGTTTTATGATGTTTTGAAAATTTTATACGATAAGCAATAGGGTCTTGTTTTCCTTCTTCGAGAGTAACTTTCATTCTCAAGGTTGCGTCTCCTTCATTTAGTAATCCATCTTTCATATCTTGGAAAATTCGAAGATTTTGTAGAACAGAATTGGATCGCCAAGGACTTGAGACCGTCTGGAAACCTTTTACTTCTTGACTACTTTGATGACATACATAAGCTAACTCTCTTTTTATTAAAGAAATTCCGAAATCGTATAAGGATTCAAAATAATCTGAAGAATGAGTTATTTTAGATGGATTATAACCGAGCCATGTTACAATATCTTTAATGCCATCTACAAATTGTTTTTCCTCTTTTTCAGGATTAGTGTCGTCGTAACGTAGGAAGCAAAGACCGCCATGAGCAGCAGCGTATCTGTAATTAAATCAATTTCAATCATTTCAAAAATGTTAAATATTTTATGAAAACGCAAATTAAAAAGAAACGAAACTTTAGTAACGATAGTTAACACATCTAAAACTAAAAATTCAAGTGACTTGAATTCTAAAAGAGTAAAATAATATATGCATGTATATATCTCGTCTCGCAACGATATTGTAGCCCGGTGGGTTAAAGCGTCAATCCTCACTGGGGTAAATATAATTTTTCGTCAGCTGATGAGGTAGAACTCGAGTCTGAAGTGGTGCAGATTCCACTATAAATATATGACCACGGCTGATAAGTCAGCTCTTTAGAGCATATGAGAGCTCTCAATCGCAGAGCAATGCAGAAAGCGAGATTCACTCAAAAGATGGCGCTGCACAGTAAACTTCGGAAGATCTACTATGATAACATGCGGGTTTGTGAACTCCTAAATGGTTGATCCACAAGCTCAGAAGTGCCGTTTTCCGTCTCATACACTGAAACGATATAGGCGCGCGCTCTGTATCACGATGTGTACAGATGCTAGCATTCGACCACGAGCGCTCGGTGACTTGCGTAGAGCAACGACTGCGTATCGAATGACATTGACAGCATCTTTGGCCGAGCAGCTGTTAATTTACTTGAAAAAGTGCTGGCTACTATTCGATAGAAGTAGAGAGCTCGCCTACTCGCGCGCGTGCTGCTCACTCAAGAGTAGTAGCTAATCCTTACATATAGCGAACACAGTCTTGCGTTAAGATTCGCTTGTACACCGCCAGAGTGGCCGGTGCGCCTATATCGTTTCAGTCTACCAACGCCGACTTTACCCACCATAGAGAGGGTTAACAGAGTCGTCGTTGCGGAAGAAGCTAGCCTACATCTTAAAATTAAGAACACACACACACATGGACTCACACTATTGAGCCATCACGTATAGTTCGTTTCATAATATTTTAAGTGTTGATTAATTTTCCAAAACTTTCGCCCCAGAAAGATATCAAGATATAGTCTGAACGCTTCTCATACAATGACAGCGCACTAAGAAACCCCAAAAATAATGATTGTGCAATTTAATTCAGTTTTCACGCATCAATAAAATTTATTATACTATCTTTTCAAGGCTCAATTTTTGTGTACCCTATCAATAATACTCCTTATACTATCAAGATGTACGACTAACAATCGATAAATTTTTAACAAATAAAATGATAATCTTCCTTATGTTAAGAAAGTTTATAAAAACGTTATAAAGTCGTCAAGTCACTAAAAATTTTATTGCTTCGATCGATTTATGTATCTTGCAAAAGGCAATACGTGATTATTTTCTGTGTATAGTGTCAAGTACGGTGAGATATAGAATGCCAAATTCACAGAATCATTAATAAAAAAAAATTTATATTATTTGAAATAAAGTAAAATGAATCATGTTGATTCAAAGAATGAAAATTCAGTTTGATAGATTAGAATACATTTATTACTTACCCAAAATTAATATTTATGGCTTTAGCGTGTCCGAGATGTAGTATTCCATTCGGTTCTGGAGGAAACCGTGTTATCACTAATCCACCAGTTGAACGTAAATGATCGGCTAAAAGTTTCTTCGTATTATTAGTTAAGATATATCCATCTGTTTTGTAGTTTTCTCCTGGTTTATGAAAATTTACTTTTGACTTCATAATTTCATCGATTGTCAAGACTTCAGCAGAAGATTTTTTTGATGATTTTGTTAGTTCTGTAAGATTATTAAATATTATAAAACATTAGTAAGAGTGTATTTTCATTAATACTATAAATCGATGATAGCTGCAAAAACAAACAATGCTCTGAATTAAGCTGAGGTCTTGAAAACAATATGAATAAACTTTTTCATTTAATCACACAATCATTAAAATTAAGCTCACTCCTATCATTTAATTATCATGTAGTGATTTTAATCAAGTCAATTTTATCATGATGTAAGAATTTGCCGTCCAACGAACTGCCACGAAAATGGAATACAGGTCTTATGAGAAGGGGATTTTTAACATGACTATTGGCAACGAGCGTAGAATTGCCGGCTCTGCATCAGGAAAGGTGTTAATGGCGTTAATAAGAAATGACGGACCCCGTGTTAGGAAAGCTGAACCCCGGTATACTGTTGGAAGGATAACATTTCTCGTCTACGTAAGGACTCTCTAAGGGCGCGCAAAATTTCTTAGCGTACGCGAAACCATAGATAACATTAACACGAGCTTCATGGAGAGGCAAGAACTGAGTTGTGGAGAGCGATTCAAAATAGCAAATACCAATGCTGGAAGGATCTGATCCAGACGGTTGTTGATTACCCATACGGCGTGTTACAATATTGTGATGACGAAGTCGCAGAGCCAGGCCAACCAGTCACCGACAAACTTTTTCCTAATAACACAAATAGTGTGGACAGTTTTTTCATATAATGCAAGAGGGTCGAGCTGTGGCGAATTGTGGTTTGGAAAAATCCTTAGTATGTTCCTTCCATCATAAAAAGAATAATTTTCCCGTGCCCTGAACCGGATAAGAAAAGCGGCCTCGACAGGGTCAGACCATGTTTCAAATTAGTTACTAAACTAATGAAAGGCGATAAAGGCTTTGGAAGACCTTCCTAAAATGTAGTCAACTGTGCAAAGCAAGCAAATCTTCAAAATGATCATCTGTAGCCGGTTAGAAGCCTGCACGGAGCTAGAGAGCACTCGAAAAGCAAGCAGAATGGTCATAAATAAGCTACAGTTGGCCGATTACATGAAAAACTTTGGAACAAAACCCAACAAAAGTTGGAAGCGAAGAAAGTGTATTAAGGTGACTCTGTACTGACTCGGCTAGTCAATACGAGTGTGGTTAGTTTGTTTTGACTCTTGTGGTGTCCGAGGATCCTATGCTGTAGTGTTGTAAGCGTCCCCTCTTCTCTTCAGCAGACGACGAAACCTCAATCAGACCATAAAAATTCACTTTATCGGGCAAATATTACAATAATTAGCATGGAAACATGTACTTTTTAACATACTAATCAAAAGCTTATGCTTTCAACTTTATATTGTCAGGTTTTGGAAGAGCTGTATGATATATTTTGCGAGATATTCAATAAGAAGGGTCCAAAAGTAAATATGCGCCTATATACGCCGTGTTAAAAAGTCAATTTTCGATGGCCTTTTCCTCGAAAATTAGCATGACATGATCTGAAATTTTGCAGGGAGATATTAGATCACTAATTAACGTTGTCCCAAAATTTCAAGACCTTGTATAAAAAAATGTTTAAGTAAAGAGTCACCTGTATTTGCGCTTGGGAGGTTGCACTATAAAATCAGCTCCCTCTCTGGTCGTGAAAGCAGAGTCGGGAAAATGGGGGGAACCATATTGGGCATACAAATAGACTGCCGCTTAGGATATAATAAACGCCTGGCAAAGCTGCATTTTTAGATAAGAGTGCTATTATAACTTAAATATGGCTACGTCAGTGAAAGAACGCTTTTAGGTCTCATTAAAAATACAGGCAAGTTTTTACAAAACCAATTACTTCAACAGAAATTCATTATTCAAGTTAATCACCATTATACTTGAGGACTATCAGAATTTTCTCAAAATGATCGAATTTCAAGAAATTTTTGTTAGATTACTTGTTACTTCTCTTTTTACATCTTCGCGTATTTATCGCTAATAGAACAAGAGTAAAAAAAATTATTTGAATTTTGTTGGTATCAAGTTATTAATAAAGCAGTACCTTTTTGAGAAGAAGCTTTACTGTCCTTGACGTTCTTTTTAGTTTTTTTTAAATCATAATCCTTTTCTGTTTTTTCTCCCAACAAATCGAATAACTGTAAATCAACTTCATTTTTTATATTTTTTCCATCAGCCCACTGCAAACGGTTCCGAACTTCTTGCATAATCAAACCAGTATTAAAGCGATATCTAAAAAAATTAACGTCTGCATTAAACACTTCATCCAATAATAATTTTTTTGCACATATCACTGAAATGTATGTGTCTCAGTAGTGTTGTTAAAACCATCTACGTTAAACATTATGTTTATAATTTTGATCATTAGGTTTTTTATTTTGTAAGCTATTCGATCTTGAAAGTTATGACTTCAAGTTAAAATGTGCGAAACAAAACGGTTTTGATATTTGTCAATGCATATTCGTCTGGCGCGCCGTGGATCGGTACAGCCGGCTAGGACGTGAAAAAGCCCGTCAAGGCGGTGAGCACAGGGAGTTCACAAGTTAAAAAATCTCACTAGAAATACATATTTATAAGAAAATAGTATTACCTATTGTGCAGATATGGTTTTTTAACAAAACTAGTTATAGCACTTTCCTTTGGCTTACGCTATAATCCTTCGTTTTGCTCAAACAAACTAAAATATCAAGTTAGCTGTCTATGGAAAGCTATCAGAAGTGAAATTTCTTCAAATTTAATTAATTGAAAACATCAAAACATAAAACAAGAAAAATCTTGAAAAATTTTTAAAAATAGCAAAAAAAAAATGAAGTTTTGTAAAAATAAAAGAGTCTAATTTATAGCAAGTCAAAAGTCAAGAAAAATTTAATAAAATTTCCAAAAGAAAATTCAATCAAGGTGAGGGAAGTTTTAATTCTGGCGTTTAGATTATCTAAAATTATGAAAGTACTTGAAGAGATTTATCTTAATTAAAAATTCTTTCTGGTATTTCTGGTATTCAACTTTTCTCGATTTTTGTCATGATTGAAATTAGATTTTTCTTAATTTTTTTAAAACTTCATTTTTCATGCTATTTTTTTAAATCTTTCGAGATTTTTCTTGTTTTATGTTTTGATGTTTTCAATTCATAAAAATGTATGCTCACCCCTACGTAAGTACGCTCGTTTTTCATGGCTTGACCTCCATATTCAACGTGCGAATAGAATATTCACTTCAAAATCATTACTGTGCCTGTTGAGAAATACACTACTGTTGAGTCTAAAAATGTCTCACGTTGGTAAATATCTGGGGAATCGGTAACTGTAGAATTTACCATATTTAATACAAGTGATAGGGTGAGGCCAAAAATAGCGTAGCAGTCACCATGTACTCCTAATGGGGAATCGTAAACGCTATATGCAGCGTTGTGAAAAACTTTCGGAACATGGCTGCCGCTGTCGTCTGCCGTCACTGTTTTATTATCTGACCCGATGCTACCAACTCAAACCTAGGCGGCAGAACTCAAGTAATGTTTTGTGTACACGCTGTAGTTTTATTATGTGGTTTTTTTCATGAATGAAATATTTTTTACATCTTACATTGATAAATGAAATGTAATATACATTTTATTCATGAAGAAAAACCACATAGTAAAACTACAGCGTGTGCACAAAACATTATTTGAGTTCTGCGGCCTAGGTTTGAGTTGGGCTAGTTGACAGCGGCAGCCATGTTCCGAAAATTTTTCACAACGCTGGCTATATAGGGTAAACCTACTAGTACCCGACCATCCTCTAGTATCCGACCACTTATATTCGAATCATAGAACCTTTAGATTTAATTGTTAATTATTAAATTGCCGTGTATTTAGTCCTTTACTATTAAATTAATGCATTTATTTTGTCATAAAAGTTTATGTAAGAAAAAAATTTAAAATATACCGTGTTGAAATGTGGTCGGGTACTAGAAAACTGGATTTTTTGATAAGGCTAGTACCCGACCACTTTTCAACATAGCTTTTCGACGTTTAAAGTTTTATTTATGGAATCTTTTTTCGTACATTCTGATAAAATCGAGTGTTTTCTACAAGTTTTCATTATTTATGAGACGAATCGAATTATTTTATTGAAAATTATAAGAAAATGGACGGGTACTAGATGATGATTTCTTAAGTGGTCGGATACTAGCTGGTTTACCCAATAACCACCGCGAAATACAAAGATGGCCGACTTATCCCAGTCATTAAGGAGGTTCCCTCGGGTAACACGCTAGTCAATTGAGAGTTCGCGCAGTAACATGGGTTAAGTTAGCTGGCTTGTCATCTGCTAGCCCTAAAACGAGCCGAAAAAGTCGTGTTTTCGCGTCTTTTATTAAAAAAATATTGAAAAAACGGCAGGCTACCTCTACTTTGAGACACGGGTTTTAAAAGATAAGAACTTTCTCTACAATTTGTATATAATCATTCCTCTGCGAACTTTGATTTCTTTTCATAAATTGTAAATGTAGCTCAAATTTTCATAAATTCCTATGTTGCCCATGTTAATTTTCGAAACTTTGATCACATTTTTCTCGAGATTTTGCCTGGCTTGGGCATATGAGAGTTATACCATTGGATTCGGGAGGTCAAAATCTATCGATATTGATATACGTACTTCTTGCGAACTTTTCAAGGGAACCTCCTTAACACAGGCTTGTATGGAAGCCGCGGGGTTGATATTTTTTTGTAAATGAATGAAAAATTTTACGAGATCCGATCCGATCAAAAACATCTTCATTTAAATATGTTCATGTACAACAATTATCGTTAAAAAACGTCTATCCCTTCGCCTGTAATCATTAAATTAAGTTTGCTTAACCCTCTATCTGACGTTTATTTTTGCAGCTGTCCAAGTAAAGTTATGGTAGGGCTGCAGCAGCCAAAATAAACGTCAGATAGAGAGTTAAGCAAACTTAATTTAATGATTACAGGCGAAGGGATAGACGTTTTTTAACGATAATTGTTGTACATGAACATATTTAAATGAAGATGTTTTTGATCGGATCGGATCTCATAAAATTTTTGATTCATTTACAAAAAAATATTAACTCCGCAGCTTCCATACAAGCCCATGTTGAATTGGATAAGTAGGCCATCTTTGTATTTCGCGGTGGCTATATATGTCGCTTACGATTCCCCAAACGACCGAAAAAAACGCAAGTGCCTCACGCTTGAACTAAATTTTTTCTCATTAAAAATAACATGAGAATGAGTGGCGCTACGGTATCGTTCGGAGTCAAATCTAATCTCAATAGAAGTTGCTGCATGACCAAAATTATTATTAGGAATTATATTTCTTCAGATGATATCAGAAAGAACAAGGAATGGAGCAAGTCAATAACTCTAATTTTTCATATAAGTTTTCCAGGTTATTTTAATTGAGAATCCTATGACAACTACTGATTATTGGAGCTGAATTAAGCTGTCATGATAGATTTGTTATCTAAGTCAAAACACTATAAATAAGTCAAGTTTAGGAAAAGTTGATACATCAAATTTAAGAAAGGCCAAACCTAAATGAAAGGCAAGATATGTGTAAACTTTTTAAAAAATATACTGCGTAAGTCCTAATAAAAACATATACGTGGTATAATAAGTTTACTAATGTTAACATTTAAGGTAACTGTAAAAACTATTAAACTATGTCAACAATATATTGTATTATTTTGTATTAATATATATTACCTTTGATCGAGAATTTCATTCTTGAAAATGTTTATGCACTTTTGTACCTCTTCTTCGATTTGTTCGGGTGTAATTATAACTCCTATTCCACAAGCTTCTTCAAATTTATTGATATCCATCTCATCATTTATATTGTGAAGCAAATAATCCAAAGCATGATCAAGTTTTAAAACTGATTCTATTTTCTCATCTACTATATATTTACAAAGAAAAGGTATTAAATGATTTATTTGCTTAGGAATTTTAGATGCTAAATGGTAAAACAGAGAGCTGTTGCACTGATTTATTTTTCCACAATTGGAAACCTGAAATTAAAAATATTATTTAATGTATAAAAAAATGTTTGATTATATCAAACTAAGAATATAAGATACTATAAATCTCATTGTGACAATTGCATATGTTATATGTTTGAGTTTTGAATTAGTTTTAAATTTGAAATATATTAACTTTCCATGGTTAAGAGCTGAATAATTCTCAGTTATTTTCAAATTTTGTAATTATTCAAAAGCAGAGGCATTTTAATTGTTTAACAGAATGAAAGATAAAAATTGAAATTATTCAATTTAATAAAAGTCACTATGGATAAATGTCATGGAATAAGCATTGCAATTTATGAATAAAATGGGAAAAATAAAGAAAATATTATGCTTTGTTTAAAAAGAAAAAACCATAAGGTAAGTAATTACAAAACTAAAGAAATAGTCAATAAGAAAATTATTTTATTACAGAGTAGATAACATTTATTTAACATACTTTAGTAACAGGGGTGGAATGTAAAAATGTCAGAAGCATGTATAATAACCTCTTTTATTTGATGCAATTTAAGTTAGTAAAATAATTTCACACAAAACTAGAAATATTAATTAATCACGAATAGAAAACAACAACTAAATAATGATATTATATTTAACTAACCTCTTCAATGCACTTCAATAAATTTGAAGTTACATAAGAATTTTTTAAAGTTTCCTTAGCTTTTTGTTCACTAAGCCCAAGGGTCATGAACAGCTTTATTTTTTCATCCATATTAAAATGATTTGTGTTAATTTAACATAAACAATTTCAAACAATCGTGCTGAGCACGTGTGGTTGAATATTCAATGTGACAACAACAATGACTGCAGTAAACTAGACGACAAACATATGGTATTTAGACAACACGATATGTGTACATTAAAGTCTTTACACAGAATGAACTTCGCTTTCATTGAGGAATAATGTAAGTGCTACAGTCATTTGAAATCTTGAAATCTTTTTCATTGGAGATATTTTTCGAGAAAAAACTAATCGTAATTATGTACATTTTTTTAAACATATCTTTTAATAAATTTTGACAAGTTTCAGAATCCACCTCTCCTAAAAACATTAATTTTTTTGTTGAAAAGTACTGAAAACGAGGATTTTTGGATATTTTCTGTACATTTTTCGAGTGGATTTTATAAATGGATTTTTTTCTTGATTTTCTGGCTCAAATTTTTTAAGATTTTCAGCTAGAACTTAAGATAAAATTATAAGCTGAGATTTTCACGGAAATGCTATTGTATCTCAAAAAAAAATTAATATTTGAACTAATTAAATATAAATAGTAAGGAAAATCTTTTTCAAAATCAGTCCATTTATTTAAATATATATTACGAAAATCGCTTAAGAATAATAAGAGATATTCTAATTTATAAAAAATTAAGAAATATTATCTTAGTTAGAAAAATTTCTTGAATCGCGAATATCATCGATTGAAAAAAAATAAAAAATTCTGTATATAAAAAATATCAATATTAAGTGGATTTATCAGGCGTGCGATAGAAAATTGAACGTATAAAAACGTAAGCCACACCGTGTTAACGACAGTCAATTCAGTCAATCTGTCACTTTCGCACAGCTGTGACATGTAGCTGTTTAGCACTTACTTTTAAAAACAACACCGAAAGTTTGTTACGGCTTTATTGTTTTGATCTAAATATTCCAATAGTTTACATTGATTCAGCAATCTAAATCTATTATTTGATCAGTTTTATCTCTACAGATGATAAACATATAGATCGATTATTTTGAAGAGTTCAACAAACCAATTGTCAAACTAATTAAAAGGCATTTCTTGTAAAAAGTTGTTTCTTGAATAGAAATTAATTATTATCATGGATGAAGAAAATTTGCATAGGAAATTGAGTAGTCTACGAAAAATACTGGAAAGATCTGGACCTTTTTGTAGGCCAGATTTTGAACCTTCTCCAGAATCATTAAAATTTTTAATGCAAAATTGTAAAATTCTTGTTGTTGGTGCTGGAGGGTTAGGCTGTGAGTGTTTAAAAAATTTAGCTCTTATGGGTTTTAGGCAAATGGAAGTGATTGATATGGATGTAATTGATTTATCCAATTTAAATAGGTTAGTAAATCATTGAGTTTTAATCTTCAATTTTAAATAATATTATTATTTTCAACATTTCCATTATGATAAGTTGAAATTTATACATTACTTTATTGTATGAAGAATCAGTTTATTTTATACTTCATTAAAGGAGTATATTTTTTGAGCTAAATTGATTTTGTTTACAAAAACTCCCAAGTGTGAGTATTCAAATTTATTAATCAAATTTATTATCAATTTTTTAGTATTGATATTAAAAATTCAAGTCAGTAAAAGCTTAAAAGTGTTTAGTTAAGGAATTAAGATTAACACACTCTCTTACTAATTTCCAATTGAATATACAGATCACAGACTTGAAATTTATTATCTACGATGGCGAACAGTTGTCGAAAAATTACTGACTCTTTAATTTTTTGTTTTGATGTGATTAAAAACAATAAATTTTCCATGAATAGTTTTAAAACAAAAAGTATTTTTATAAGCCCAGTTAGGAGCACACACTTTTAAATGTTTCATATCATCAATATCTAGAACACTTACAAATGTACGAGAACTTTTAGGAACTTTCAACAATATTATAGTTCATGTTTGTCCACTTTTTGATTCAGTAAAATTAATTAAAAAATCAACAATTTTTGAATTATTATTATTTTAAATATTTTTCAAGATATAAATCCATGCCCTGAGTTGAGTCATTTATAAATCAATTATTTTGTGCTTTTTGCTCATTCGTATTTTTATTCTTAGTTAATATAAATTTATTATAATAATACGTCAGTACTCTTCTATTCTACAAAGCTGTTCATACTGGTAAAAAAGATATCTTTTTTATAAAGTTTACAGTAGATACTACCGTGAACATTTAAATTTATTTTTAAGGTATTGCTCAACTTTCTCATTACCCAACTTATTCGAATACTAATCTAATTAGGGCTAAAAACATAATATTATAGCTTTTTTTTTTGTTATGATTGAAACAAGAAGACCAAAAATAATAATTACAATTACTATCAACAATATTTTGTCATTAAAACTTGATGTTAACTAAAATTTTAATTTTTGAAACCCTTTGCAACGCTATAGTTTATACACAATAGTGTGTGAATGATGTGATGATGAAGCTCCTATTATGTAAAAAATCTCAATCGCTAATGGCAAATGCGCAATAGAAATTGATATTCCAAAATTTTAGAAGGAGATTAGGTACTATGATAGGATCTCATAAATGCAGAGTAGTAAGTAAATGTTTTCCAAATAGACCAAAAATAGTTTTAGCTATCTAATGCGGTCAAAATCATCTTCATTTCAATATATTGTAGAAAAAAAATGTTAAGCAAAAAACCTGTCTCTTCACCCGCAATTAGTTAATTAAGGTATTTTCAATCTACATCTAACGATGATTACGGCTGTTGTAGCTGTATGAAACTTCACTTTCACTTCACTCAGATGTAGGTTTAAAATACCTTAAATGAGAATTATGGTTTGCAATTTTTTACTCAAATTTTTTTATTGCATTATCGAATTTCTTATGCTCTGAAGAATCACCTTCAATTTCGATTATTCTGTTCTCTATTCTTGGGCTGTTAATTAGCGACTGTCGATAATCGAAACTCGCGCGTAACATTGTAATTCGACTGAAAAATAAATTAAAATATTGGTTCCAAGCCTTTTTTTCTCAGTTTTTATAATAATAATTTTAATTTTCACAAAGAAAAATCGAAAATTAACCTTCAAGTTTATTTTTCCTGATTACGCTTTGCGAGATATTAAGCTTTGAATGTTTATGTACGAATTTCTCGATGAAAATGGATAGCTTCGGAAAATCTGAGGTCACCACCTAAAAGTAAAGAAATTTTCCTACTGAAATCATTAGTTAGTTTTTTTCGAGGTGGATTTTGATACTTTTACAGGGAGTTAGAAATTGAGTCAGTAGTCGTATTTACAGAAAAACATGATTTGACATGAAACAAAAATAACTATCTTCAAAAGTCATGTTCACGCGTATTTCTTTGTTTCGGAGACTATACCAGAAATAATGCCTTGACGTCGGGGTACGGGGACAAGAAAAAGAAATTAAGCCTTGGTTTTCTGATAATACTGCATTTTTTTGGAATTTCACCATACATTGCAATGGTTCCAATGACCGTTGAAGGTAAATACATAATTGAAAGAATAATTAAAAGAACAATTGTGTCCGTAGCATCCTAAGTACGCGTATGGACTATATCACGTCAACTGTCCTCCTCCCCTCCCCCCCTCTTGGATCAAAGTTGGAATTTGATTTTTCATATTTTATTCTGTTTCTCAAGGGTGAATATGAAAAAATGGTTGAAACATGATTTTTTATCTAAAATTTGATGAGGAATTCAAATGTATCATCCAAAATTATATTCATAACTACAAAATCCCTAAATTACCAAAAAATAGTCCAAAGACCAAAAATAAACATGTTTTTATTCAGCGATTAGGCCAATATTGTAATATGTTCATTGATACATCAAAATACAACTTCTGACCAACATTTTGGTCATCGGCAGACAAGCAGACTTCATTATTGAGTATCATATGAGTCACGAAACAAGGACAATTAGAGAAAAACCATGTTTTATTCACTCATCAAACATTTCAATCTTCACAACTACCTTCAATTAATAATGCAATAGTTTTACGTCGCTTTATATTGGTTTATTAATATAAAATATATTTTCTATTTAAATTTTAGGCAATTTTTATTCCGCCATAAGGACATTGGTAAATCAAAGGCTGTTACTGCGGCTAAATTTATCAACGATCGCATACCAGGTTGCAACGTGACTCCACATTTTTGTAGAATTCAAGATAAAGAACCTGAATTTTATAAGCAGTTTCATATAATTCTTTGTGGATTAGATTCCATTATAGCCAGACGATGGATTAATAGTATGTTAACATCTTTATTAGTATATAACGATGATCAATTGGATGTTTCTTCAGTAATACCGCTAATTGATGGAGGCACTGAAGGATTCAAAGGGAATTTAAGAGTTGTATTACCAGGATTGACACCTTGCATAGAATGTTCTTTGGATTTGTATCCCCCTCAAGTACGTAAAATATATTTTATGTAGATAACTTTTCTTCAATATTCGATAAAGATACGCCACGTTATATATACGTATAAATAAGTAAATACACTACGCAACAAAATTATCGCTACGAAAAATTTCATCGAAATTTTCTCAATTTTCAAATACCTCTATCTTTGTCTACTTTTATGGTATTGATACGATTTTTTTCTATTTCCTAGAAATGTCCGATTTATGAATCCATATACATGTGTATATTATATGGGTTTAAGTCTATATCGAGTTACCAGTAGTATTTGAGCGCAACACAAAAAATTACTAAAAGTCATTGTTTAAATATGTTTATGAACTACAGTAGAGTACAGTAGACTACAGTATAGAGCTCTTGACGATTATTTTTGCGTCTTGTAGGTCGTTTTGAAGGTACCATTTTCGTGCGCAAAATGCCCAAAAATTTAGTCAATTTCAGCTACGGGGATATAGAAGCTAGCCAAAATATCAAAATTTCAAAAAACTAGATTGAACTTTTGATATTTTGGCTAGCTTCTATATCTCCTTAATGATGGATTTTACGTACTTTAAATGGTACCTTCAAAACGACCTACAGGGGTCAAAAGTAATCGTAGAGAACTCTATTTTTTTAAATTACTCGTTGAAAAGAATTCTTTGCGACGGTATATGTTAGATTTTGATAAATAAATTACTGTAGTCAAAAACGATGAATTTTTTTCAGTAATTTTTAGTGTTGCGCTCAAATACTACTGGTATTGGCTACTCTATATTGACTTGAACCCATACATATTATATTATAAAATATGGATGGGTTCAAGTCAAGTCAATTACAAAATGTTCAAGAAATCGAAAAAAAATTCGTTTCGATACGATAAAAATAGACGAAGATAGGGGCATTTGGCAATTAACGATATTTCGATGAAATTTTTTGCAGAGCTAATTTTTTTACCTAGTGTATGTGTATACAAGTAATGAATTTAAGAGTTTAGTTGGTATGAAAAGATCCTACTTAAACCAATTAACTTTGAAATCTAAATGTCTTAACCTTAACTACGCGCTTACTTGACTAGTTGAATAAACTAAGAAGCGTTCTTAGTTTCATAACAATACAAGTATTCGGTATTATAATTTGCAAGAAAGCTCCGGAGATAGAAATTTGGAACAGCATACTCGGAGAGAAATATCAAGGGACACTTCCGTGGCAAGCACCACGGACGTATTCTAATCTTTACAAAATTTGTAAGAGTATTCGAGGCAAGTTGAGACAAGCTTCGCGTTGCGCATTGTTTGAAAGCATTGTTGTCCCTGATTCTGCTCCTATAATTAATTATGCTTCATCCAATTATTGATTTTCATTCTGTCACAATACTTATGGTTACTTATTTTTCAGATAACATATCCTTTGTGTACGATAGCTAACACTCCTCGGCTTCCAGAACATTGTATTGAATATGTTAAAGTCGTTCAATGGCCAAGAGAAAATCCATTTGACTGTTGTATTGATGGCGATGATCCACAACACATAACTTGGATATACGAAAAATCAAATGACCGAGCATTACATTTTGGAATACGAGGTCTGACTTATCGTTTAGTCCAAGGAGTTATCAAAAATATAATACCAGCGGTTGCGTCGACTAATGCTATAATAGCTTCAATGTGCTGTACCGAAGTTTTCAAAGTGGCAACAAGTTGTAGCGCTTCATTAAACAATTACATGGTAAAATTTCATTTTCTTTTCATAATATAATATATAATTTCAAAACAATAGAATGTATTTTAATAGTTGTGTACCTGAACATTTGAGGTATTGCAGAAAGTACAAATCTTTAACTACTTTTTACATCAATGTATTATCATGCGAAAGAAAAGTCTATTAATTTTAAGATAAAAACTCAAAAAGCGGAAATTCGTGAAAGCAAAAAAGTTCTTTAAATCTAATACACTACGCAACAAAATTATCGCAACAGAAATTTTTTTATCTTCGTCTACATTGATCGTATCGAGTGCATTTTTTTCTATTTCTTGGAAATTTTGTCTTCTTTAAATCCATATACATGTTGTAATGCAGAATTATAATTCGCACGTTAAGTCGTATACGCGAATTCGAAGTTACAGAAAAGTGACTTGCGCAGCTCGTCGTACCACATGTATGACGAGCAGACGATGGTAATTAATTAAGTGAGCGAACCCTCACTTCGTGTCCGAGCGTCAAAGTGAAATTATGAACTTGCGTGCGATCGAATCAACGCGGATCCACGTCGAGCGACGACCCTGTGCGAGTGGATCCTGCAGACGACTTTGTCAGCGACGAGTAAGAGACCGAATGTCAATTGTAATTATTGCGAGCTTGCGTGCGGCCCTAGTTTTGATCAAATTACTAATTATTAATATTTTCTTGCAAATAAATCGCTTTATTTCATTTTATTAATTCGCGTCTAATTGTTTATTTCGTGTGGCCTATTTAGACCCATTTCAGCAACGCGGTTACTCGACGAGCAACGGCTCGACGAGTTGTATTGTGCGACGCGGGTTTGCGACCATATTCTCGTGTGGCACGAGCTAGCCGGCTCTTCTGCAATACATTCCCTGTTACAATGTATATGCATACAGGGTGTCACAAAAGTATGAAAACCTTCTAAAAGCGGGCTAAATATGCGGTGAAATAAAATCTAAAACCTCATATCTGACGTATTTTTTTAAGGGAAATCCAATGGTGATTTTGGATTCGACCTCGAACCTAATCTCAAAGCTACAGCGACCCAATAATCGATTTTTCAAATGGAAACTCCTATTTTTATTGCAAATTTGAAAAGAGGGGAAAATTTTACGTTGAAAAATATGTTTCGTTTTTTTTTTCAAGGTCATTTTAAGGGCGCTACAGGCTCAAATAAAACCCCAATTTAACTTAAAATCAAGTTCAAGTAAAAACTTCATTTTCTAACTGTAGCGCCCCAAAAATAATATGGAAAAAAAACATAAAGGCCTATTCGAACGTAAATTTTTTTGTTCTTTTCAATGGTGACCTTAAATTTAACCTAGAACATAACCTAAAAGCTGCAGCAACTCAAAATCGAGTTTTTACACGGTAACCCCAATTTTTTATGTCAGATTTAAAAAGAACGAAAAATGTTACGTTCAAATATGCGATTTGTTTTTTGTTCAAGGTAATTTTGGGGGCGCTACAGTTAGAAAAGGAATTTCTTACATCAGCTTAATTTTAGGTTAAATAGGGGTTTTATTTATTTTTTTATTATGTATTTCGTTTTTTTTCTAGGCCATTCTAAGGGCGCTACGGGCTAATAAATATTTCAACGTAAAATTTTCCGCTCTTTTTGAATTTGCAATAAAAAATAGGGGTCTCCATTTAAAAAATCGATTATTGAGCTGCTGTAGCTTTGAGGTTATGTTCAAGATCAAATCCAAGGTCGCCATTGGATTCCCCATCAAAATATATATTTATCAAAATATATATTTGTCATATGTTGAATATGAGGTTTTAGATTTGCGACGGACAGCCTACCCCGGGCGGGTAAATCAGCTCGACTGCCGTGCACTTTATTTATGGGGGCCCGCTTTACCTGACTCGAGTCCCAGAGGGGATATTGGGCCCGTCACCAGTACGGGCGAGCCGTAAGCCCGTTTAATCACCTTCCTTCGCTTAAGCTTCTGATACCTGAAATTCACGAATAGGTCAAGCGAAATTAATTGACACGCGTTCCTTTACGATTAATCAATTTATCTTTATTTAAGGCCCACGAGGGCAAGCGATAACAAATAATATGCGAATTACAATCTTCGGCTTACGATACGGCCCCGTAGCCGCTTACGCACGCGTTGGGCACTTTCCGATAGCCCACGAGGGCCGAGACTTGCTCGCACGTTACTATCGGCCCAGTGTCGTTGCTACGACACTCGCGTGGCCTCACTTACACTAGCACACTTGCTCACACACACACACACGGGCGGCCCAGCAGCCGCGCCGACCAACGACTTAAAATACCTTACAATTACCCCAAGTTCTTCGGCGCCTCGCTGCTGCACTGATGGCTTCTCGTCGATGCTCTGGGTGTAGTCTTCTTGGCCCAACTACTACTGCGGCCCGCGTCCGGGCTTCGTCGTACCTCCACGTGTGTTGTCTTCGATCAACCTTCTCGTCCTCCTTCGGGCTCTGCGCACCTCACTCGTGCGATTTTGGCTGCCCGATCGGACGAGTCTGCCCCGACGTGTCTTGCCCTCCTGGGCTCCGTTCTGACTCGTGTATGCAATTCCACACGGGTACTGCACGGGCACTTGCTCACCCGCGTCACAACAACGACTCCCGCAATCACTTCAGCAAACTTCAGTTTCACGCACTAGCGCGCGTTTTCCTCCGTTTTTCTATCACTCGGCTTTTCGCGTGGCCTTCTCACTCGCGAGCGTATTCTAATCTGACCCATGCGTAGTGGCGAAAGGAATTCGCCCGGTGTCTGCTCGGCTCTTTTCTGTCCTTCTCGCACGTGTTGATACCGGGCCACGCTCTTGGCTTCACCTCATTCGGACGGGCCACTGCTTAACAGCTACCTGAAAACGCGCGAGAGAAGGGAGACACACACGCACTCACTCATACATACGCGCGTGTGGCAGTCTCGGTGCGACGCATTTTCTGCGAGTGCTCGACTCGCTTGCTGACGGCTTGTGCTCCGTCACAGATTTTTTTCTCCGCATAATTAGTCCGCTTTTAGGAGGGTTTCATACTTTTGTGACACCCTGTATGTATACTATAAATGGGTAAGAGTCACTATCGAGATACCAGTAGTATTTTGGCGCAACTCTAATAATTATTGAAAAAAAATCCATTGTTTAAACGTTTATCTGAACTACAGTTATTCATTTATTCAAATCAAACAAACACTATCGCAAAGTACTATTTTAAAACAGTAATTTAAAAAAAATCTCTACGAATATTCTTGCGCCCTGTAGGCAGTTTTGAATGTACCATTTGTGTACGCAAAATGCCTGAAATCGAGTCGATTTCAACTAAACAGCGTACTTTGAACATGACCTCAAAATTAAGTAAACCAAATGAAGTAAACCAAGTTTTTCGAGATATTTAGTCGTATTTTTGAAAAAAACATGATTTTTTGACCTTTAAATCCCAAAAGTAGCTGTAAAAAACACCATCTGTGACTGTTCCTACATTCTTATATGTTCCAGGGACTCCCACAAACAAATCCCGATGGTCCATACCCTTGTCACGTGAAAAATTTTTTTGCCGCGATTGTAACTTCAAAACTGCCTTTCTTTAATAGAATTGCTCGTATATGCGCTGTGCTACACCGTATACGCCTTGAGAGCGTGAAAATATCTCCGGCGACACAATCTCTGTGACTAAATCTTCACGATAAAATCTCCGCAAGGATAAATTTTTCACCACATTTTTGAAAAAATGTTATGTTTTTTAGGTATCTCTAAATATTACTTTATTACTTTACTGAATGATTTTGGTTTATTTTGGATTTTTTTGTGATATTTTGTGATATTTTGTGAATAAAAGTGGCTACTTTAACCTTGTAACGCCTGAAATGACCATTTTTGGACAACAGAATTGGTGCAGTTATCCATTTTGCTCGGCGTATAATATTGTGAATGGTAAGACTTATTAAGTGATATTTGCGAGCAAGTTTATTTTTAAACGTTATTTCTTTATTTTTGCAACGTTTCGACTCGATTTCCGAGTCCTCTTCAGGCTGTCAGTTAAGAGTTGTGCAGTTAACAGTACAACTCTTTTTTTTTTAGTTTAGAGGATTCTGAAGGTACTGACGTCGAGTTTTTTAAAATATTTTCATTTTTGAAAATTTGGCGTGACTTTGAAGTTGAAAAAATAGGAAAAAAACGAAAAAGTGCACTTTTTTCAGAAAGTTGTTGAAAAAAAATGAAAATTTTCGCAAAAATGAAAATATCTCGACGTCACTACCTAGTAAAATAGTTAATAAATAACGGTGTAAAATTTCATAAAGATCGGTCAATAAGTTTTTGAGATAGGATGTACACCGTCTTTTGAAAATGCTATTGTTCAGGAATAGCGTTTAAAGATTTTGAGGTCCAGTCCTCCTACCTTTTTGCACGTGTATTAAAATGATCATATCTTGGTTAATTTTGCTCCGATTGGCTTAAAATTTTAACTGCATACTCTTGAATATATATATATATATAGAATCGAATAAGACAATAAAAAAAATATCGAAAATTTTTGCGAAAAATACTATACCCCCTCCCCCCCTTAATAAGTCTTACCATTCACAACATTTTTGGACAACATTTATAGCGATGAATTAGACCGACTAAAAATTGTATAAAAAACTTTTCAGACATCATTTCTCACGTAAAATTTAATGTACTTTTCGAATCCGGGGTAAAATTTAAAAAAAATTATTAAATAAAAAGTTATAAACAATTTTGTAAAAAAAAACATGAAATTTCGAGAAAAAAATCTCGTTTAACTCAAATTTCAACACGGAAAAAAAGTTCGCTCGTGCGTCTCACGCATATAAATTTGGTCAATAGCTTGTATACTTTATTGTAAAACATTTATAATTACGAAATTCAAAATGTAGATCATAAATTTGACTCCCGAAGACCTGTATGTCCTAAAATGATTTCGACAATTTTTAACTCGATAACCATCAACTTTACAAGAAAAAGTTGTAGAATAAAAAGTGTGTATAATTAATCAAAGAACATGCCTGCATTTTTTCAGAATTTTTGGAGCGATTTTTGGATTTCTGGATAACAGCATTTTTTCAAAAATCCAAAAATCGTTTCAAAAAATTCTGAAAAAAATCAGGCGTGTTCTTTGATAAATTATAAACCCTTTTTATTCTATAACTTTTTCTTGTAAAGTTGATGGTTATGAAATGTAACGACGGGTTTTCTAGCCCGTCGATTACTTTAATAATAATATCAATAATAATATGTGTCGTCTGACTGAAGGCTTGACTCTACTCGCGGTTGTCTCTGGGGGTGAGGTGAGATGAAGGAAGGATAACACAGAATTTCACAAGAGACTGTTTATTGACCAAACTTATATCTAATATACAGTGGAGTGAGCTTACAAGGTACTGAGTTATCTTCGGCGGCGTCGTTCGTTGAGCGGCGAATGAGTTGGAGGGCGGCTCCGCGTCGGTGCGGTCTCGGCTGGTCGGCGAGGGTGATCTCGGCTGGTTGGTGAGGGTGATCTCGGCGTCGATGGGACCGGTACGGCGTCGGCGTGTTGGGCGGCGTCGGTGGTTGCTGCTGAACGGGCTCGCGTACTTTACGAATAACTAACTCGCACTGATTTTATCTGGTCGGAGCCGAGCAACAGGCTGGTTTTCAAGTAAACTGCGAACTTTGAGTCGAGAAGTAATGATGTACGTGAATACCGAACCGACGAGCGTCGATGTGTACGCCTCGAACCGAAAACTGTGAGTGAGCCGACGAGCGTCGATGTATACGCCTCGAACCGAAAACTATGAGTGGCCCCGAGACTCTCTGAGTCTCGGTTTATATACTGTTTGTTGCTGCCGTACCCTCTTTGTCTGAGCGAGGGTCGCCGTAAACTTTATGTGTCCTCTAGAGCTTGCGGGCTGCGCGTTTTTCCCATCCGTCGTTTCTGGGAATCTTAGCGAATGCTTGAGCCGTTCCCTTAGTTTCTTCGCTCGCAAGTTGTGACCTGATTTTTGCCAACATCCGATTTTCTGCGAATTGCCCGAGCCGGTTACCCTATCGCATTCCTGGTAACGAAGGCATCATAAATTTCGACTTCTAGCTTGCAAGCGCGAGTCATGCTTCACACACGCGCGCGCTGCTCCATGCGTGTGCGAACTCACACCAGTGCGTACCGCGGCGTGCGTGAGTGGGCGCACACTAACGCTGGCTGCTCTATCCATGTGCGCACTCACACCAGTACGCGCTGCGGTGTACGTGTGCAGTCGCACACTAACTTTCACGGCTCTGTCCGTGTGCGCACTCACACCAGTGCGTACCGCGGCGTGCGTGAGTGGGCGCACACTAACGCTGGCTGCTCTATCCGTGTGCGCACTCACACCAGTACGCGCTGCGGTGTACGTGTGCAGTCGCACACTAACTTTCACGGCTCTGTCCGTGTGCGCACTCACACTAGTGCGCCTCAGCGGCGTATGTGTACAGCCGCGTCGAGCTGGCGTGCGGGACTTGGTGCCGTACCGGGCTGATTGTTGCCCTGTGTTTCACCTGCCTACGGCCGCAAAGATGATATGACTAGGTCATTACAGAAGCTAAAAATTCTTGAACGATAGGTTTCATTTTTGATTTTTGATTTCGGCTGAGAACGTTCAAGAATTTTTAACTTGATAACCATCAACTTTACGAGAAAAAGTTATAGAATATAGAATATAGAATATAAAAAAAAGATTTAGAATTGATCAAAGAACACGCCTGATATTTTCAGAATTTTTTGGAACGATTTTTGGATTTTTGAAAAAATGCTGTTATCCAGAAATCCAAAAATCGCTCCAAAAATTCTGAAAAAATGCAGGCATGTTCTTTGATTAATTAAACACACTTTTTATTCTACAACTTTTTCTTGTAAAGTTGATGGTTATCGAGTTAAAAATTGTCGAAATCATTTTAGGACATACAGGTCTTCGGGAGTCAAATTTATGATCTACATTTTGAATTTCGTAATTATAAATGTTTTACAATAAAGTATACAAGCTATTGACCAAATTTATATGCGTGAGACGCACGAGCGAACCTTTTTTCCGTGTTGAAATTTGAGTTAAACGAGATTTTTTTCTCGAAATTTCATGTTTTTTTTTACAAAATTGTTTATAACTTTTTATTTAATAATTTTTTTTAAATTTTACCCCGGATTCGAAAAGTACATTAAATATTACGTGAGAAATGATGTCTGAAAAGTTTTTTAAACAATTTTTAGTCGGTCTAATTCATCGCTATAAATGTTGTCCAAAAATGGTCATTTCAGGCGTTAAAGGGTTAAAGTTGCAATTTCACCTTTCTCTAATTTCATTTGCTAAATTAGATTCAAATGAAAAATACATTGAAAATCACTTTTCCCAAACGTTTAACTTTTTATCTCAGGGATCTATGGAGGCCCAATGCCTTATTAAACTTGAAATATAACTTCTCACCAAATGGCTTCAACGCTGGCCAATACAAAAAATATCAATTGGAAAGATAAAAGAAGAAAATTCGTGAATTAAAAAAAATAGTCATTTTTATGCTCGGCTCATAAAAGCAAAATAGATTTAATGAAATGAAAGTACATCTTTAAACCTTTGTAGCTTTTTAGAGTCTTCTAAGCAATGTTGAGCAGAGAGATGAATAAATAAATATGAGCGTGTTCGTTACGTCTTAACAAACAAGGCTGACTGAAAAGAGAAGGATTTAGCTAAGTTGAACTATAACTATTTACACAAAAAAATTATTCACTAAAATCCCCGCACTCGCCACAGCTGACGCGGCTGAGAGGGATACAAGCGAGAGTCTCGAGCTCCACGGACTGTCACATGCCGTCTTTTTTCAGAGAGAAATTTCAGTCTGCTTTGAAGTAAAACCCTGATGCCTCACTGAGAACTAAACTTCTAAGGTATTTAAGCCTATATTGCTAGTAAATGGCGCTTACTTATGCTTGGGTGCGTTATTTAGATCGACTTTTGACAGCTGCAAATACGAAGGTTTTAGTTGGTTTATCGATACTACTTTTTTTTTACCGTCGTAATCGATTTCATATTTACTCTCGCCTAGACCCTCCATGACTCGATGGGAGACAGTATAAAGTGCATTGAAAGAACCTTAAACACAAATGGGCATTTCTTAGCTTGTTGAAACATCTGGATTGGTTTAATCTCTGTAAATAGTTGCCACAGACTACGCCAAAGTTGAATTGTTAGTGATCGGCGTTTCAAGCATTAAAAAATTTCCCGGGATTCAAAGTGTCGTACCGTATTCCATTTTTGAGAGTGGTGAGATTTTCCAGTTTTTATTATCAGTGTTGTGCATGATTAAGGAAAAAAGTTGACTATCTAAACACTTTTTTCTGTAATTTTGTAGTTACGGATCATATTTTGTTAATTAAGACGGATTTCAAACGTAGAAATGAGAAAAACACCCTCACATTTATAAGATATAGTAGATTTCATATTTTTTCTCGTTTTTATTGACACGTGGTAACAACTGAAGTTTTCATGTCAAAATCTCCTTCTCTAAGCGTTTATGCATAAATACGCCTGCTTATAGGAATTTTAACGAAACACGCTGCGTACAGTTAATAGACTCAAAACTGATGCATTCCGCTATACTATAATATCCTATTTCGGTAGCCAATCACAGTTTTAAGAGGTTTTTTATACCTTGTCATATTATATACACGTTATTTACTCGTTCTATTCAATTTATAAACACTCTTTAAGATGGGTTAAATATAAGTAAAGCTATTTCTATTTGATTATTCGTTAAAAAAAAACTTTATTTCATAGTCATGAATTTATAATTTTCTCAATTTTTTTTACTTATTTATTATTGTAATATTTACAGGTTTTTTCAAATACAGATGGAATTTATACATTCTCTTATGAAGCTGAAAAAAATGAGAACTGTCTTTCATGCAGCCATTCCATTAAAGAAGTACCATTGAAGAGCTTAGATGTTAAACTTAAAGAGTTTATTGATATCTTGAAGTATGATAATGCTTTTCAACTCAAAAATCCAAGTATCACAGCCAAAATATCTGGAAAAAATAAAACTTTGTACGTCGAAAATATCGCTAGTTTAGAAGAACAAACTCGCCAAAACTTATCAAAATCTTTGTTTGAACTAGGCATTAGTGATCAGACTGATTTAATAGTCGCCGATTCAACAGCACCGAGTACTTTTACATTTAAAGTAAAAGTATCAGATTAAACGTTAAATAAAGTTTTAACTTGATAAAAATCGCGATTTTTTTTAAATAAAGTTAATTTGTTATAATATTCTAATTAAATAATGGAATGGACATTAAAATTCTAACGAATCTATTATAGAATGAATCATTATATATCGCGAAAGTACAACCATTGATTAAACTAATTTTAAAATACTAGTTTTTGTTCCTTATAATTTAAAGTTTAAATTTTGTTGCAGCTTATCTGCCACCATATCACATTATAAAGAATGTAGTTTCATAAAAAAAAAAACAATTACTGATGATTTATTTCTGATTTTGAAAAGTAAAAATAAAATATAAGCTAGATATACCTACGTTTATTCTTGTTTGTGGTAAATAAAATGTTTCTATTTTTAAAAATAACCCCTATAACTTGAAGTTTAAATTATTTCACTTGTAGTCACCAACTTCACGTTTATTTTGCCATTATTAAACCTTTTGTGATGACTTTTCAGCGCGCGTGGCAGCTGCTTCGGCGCTAGCGCGCAGCGCGGAATCTCACGTTTTTACATGTTCATAACTGTATTTCAGCTAATAGAAATAAAATGTACTACCTGGAAAACATGCATTCTGATGGAAAATTTCTTCAGCTTTCGATCTAGATTATTTTAAATAATCTTAAAAATAGGATGTTTAATATTGACAGCTTATTTTTGAAATTTTCCGTAGAAAATTCAATTTTCCGAAAAATCTGAGTACCTCATCCGAAAGCTAAAAAAATGTCCCATGTCTGTTACAATTAGGCATTCATTGTAGGAAGTTACGTGTATTGCGGGTCATCTTGGTTATCCGTATCTCTTTCGCTTCGGGTACTAGTGCAGAAACGACAAAGTCACCAAGTAGAGAGTTGTTTAATGAGACCACTATGGCTTCTGCTCACGTAAATAGAATCAAACTGTGCAAATGCCTTTGTCAGGAATCGAACTTACACCGCTTAATGCAGTCACATGGCACTGTAGATAGGGATATGAACAGAACACATGTTGTGGCTCCCTATTACCTTGGACTTGCTCAGGTGCCCTTGACGAACAACAATCGTAATAATAACATATAAGGAGGCTCGATCGGTGTAAGGTTATCTACAATTGAATGCTCTATGCATGCATTGCGCAACGCACAACGCATGACGCAATGTGCGACGCCCGCACTTTTGACACTTGAAATGATCACAGGCTGAATTCAAATTAAATAAAAAAAGATCAAATAATTAAAAGCAATCAAGCTACTCTAGTCCCGTTAGAACGTCATATTTCAAAGCCTATAACAAAATATTAATAAAAATGGCGGCGAATGGCATAACGTATGATGTTTTAAAGAACACATACGAGAAAAAAGATGAAAAACCCATATAGTTATTATTTACGGAAAATATCGATAAAAACCACGAATTACTAAAGATAAAAAAGTTCTGGCTTAAGTAAAAGAGTTATATCCAGAAAAGTGATATGTAATTACAACTATAAATAACTATATAAGCATAAATGACTATATTTAAAAATAAGTTTTTGATAAATTTTAAAATTTTAATTAATTATGGAATTTATTTTAGTAATATTTAATACTAAATACATTTTTTTTTTTTTTTTTTAAATGCGATACTAAATATATAGAAACTTTGACGATTAAGGAAAAAATGCCTTTTTATTTACTAAACCATGACATTATTTAATTTCGAATTTTGAATTACCCGTCATTGCGTTATGTGATATGTCCCAACATACAGTTCGACCGTTCAACTAAACGTTTTAACCCTTCATATCTTTTGAAAATGCTCGGCGACCCCCATTGATAATTATATCATTGGAAAGCTTATAAAATTTACTTTCAATGATATAAATTTCAAAAAGATGGTAAATGTTTACAACTTATGTTGGACGAAAGGTTGCGATTCCCCATAAGTGCCCATATTAAATGTGCTAAACTTTGAATGTGATTATCTCTCGCATTTGTTCAGCAACCCATAATTTTTTTTACCAATGCATTTGTTACCACAATAACTGTGTTGAGGAATTATTTAAACAATTCATTGTGTAAAGGATGGGTGCATGATCAGGTCTCAAAAGAAACAAACACTGCATAAATCACATGAATTTCATTTTCTCTATTTTCTTTATTATCACTCAAACACTGTTAATTTAATAAAAACTGTGTCTATATGTTGAAAAGGTTGATAACAATTATAACGTGATTGAGTTCACTGATGTTATGATTGATTTTACACTTGAGTTGTCAATAGTTGTAAAGATAAATTGAGCAGTCGACGCGAAGTTGGATTGTATTAATTCACACTTAATTGTCAAGGAGTCTTTACAAAGTTAGAGTTGTCAACACGAAGTTTAATTTATTAATTCACTCTGATTTGTTGTGAGTTGTAGCAATTGAGATATGCAACGCTTCTCTTGAGTTCACAGCGAGTTGAACTTGATTTATGAGATAGTCGAGCACAACGAATAAGGTTATATTAATCCTCTCGTTTGCATGTGTGAGCAGCCGGATGAGTTGACCGAGATCACATGAGATTGCACATGGCAACGCGTAACCTCACTTTCTCTCGTCGTGCGCTCGTGCACCTGAGATGCGCCAAATAATCCCGAAAGTTGAGGTGATGACAAAAGGATTCCACCAGGTCTGCAGTACATATTATTGGTCTTCAATTGCAGCCTGGAAGGTGTCTTTACCTGGTCGCAATCGATGAGCTGACTCCGATTCGATGACCGATGAGTTGCGCCTCGCAATGCATGAGTATGTCGATGAGATGAGCTTGCCGAAACGTCCTTGTTGAACGGTTTGCGTTTGTTGAGACGATCTGGAGCGGTCGAGTTGATGAAATTGTCCAAGGTGATGATGCTCGATGTAGCTTCTGTTGAGGTGACGTCAGGGATTTATTCGCAGTTGTAACAGGTCGATGCACGAGACACACGCGAGGTGCAGATTCGATGAGTGCAGAAACGAGAAGGACGATATCGCAAACAATGAGCAGATAGCAGAGATGCTGTCGGCACGTGCTGAGTCGCAACGCCATCTATTGCTTCGCAGTTGGAGTCACGCGCAGGCTTGCACACACGTGAACGTGTGTGTGTACAAGCCCTGCGCCTGTGCTTATTCGAATATTTCTCGAACAAACTATCATGTGTTAAAATTTCATGAGGATAGTAAATGAATTACGTTTTCGATCGAGCCTCCTTAAGTCTATGAACATTCACGCTTTCGAAGTAGACCGGTAATCATCGAGTTCTAACCCTGCTTCTTCCAAAGAAGACTTTCAAACGAGCTCGTAGCACTGCCCTGGCTAAAATGTTGCATTAATTAAAAGTAAAAAAAAAATTTATATCTGCGAAGATTTTCATATTGATTAATTAAAATATTTTTATTGTACATTGTAAATTTAATACACAGGTTGTTGATGACTTCTATTTTTTATAGCAAGATATCCAGCTAAATGACTTGAAACGAAAATCGCTATTAAACCAAAACAGTCAACTGCATAATGATTAATGTTGTAACCATATTTTTCTAAAACCATCATCCCTGTTGATAAACACGGCTCTTCAGGATCAAGCGAGCACTCTGAAACATTATATAAATTTTTTGAAATTATATCAAGTAGAATCAAGGGCTAATAAGTATCTTATATTTCAAAGCTTTTTCAAATTACATTATTAAGCTGTAAAAGTGAAAATTGTTGTTTAAAATAGGCATAATAGCCTTTTTTTAAAATGCTAAATTGTTAGTCCTAAATGCTAATATCGTTTACAGTAGAACTTTTTCTAAACTTTCTATCGCAAAATAAGCCTACATAGTGTGAATATTTCTATGATTATTTTAGTTAAATTGACTAAAATAATGCAAAGTTAATATAGGCGTTCTGTATAATTCTGCATAAGCTGATACCGTCATCTATTGATACCCTTTTCATTCTTTAGTTGAAATACATGCAGCAGAAATTACTTGCTTTACATAGCTGCAGTTGGTCAGTAACGCCATTACTGGCAGCACGGTATCCGTCGTTTTTCACGAATCAAATTTCACGAATAACCGATTTCACGAATACCCCCCTCACGAATACTTTTTTCACGAATATATAGTTCATGAAAGCTATTTTCACCAATCGAACTTCACGAATGACTAATTTCACGAATAAGCATAATGTATGCGTAAGTTCAGGTAAAGGGTTGACGCGGCATTGTTCAACATTTTTTTTGCGATAACCTTAGTTTTGATTTTTTACAATGAGTAATAACGTTATTTTAATCGGGAGTAAATTAATTATTGATGGGTTTTTATACCATAAGTCGAGAGACATTCCGGAAAAAGAAAAATCGTACTGGGACTGCACTCGTTTGCGAGTGCTGAGTGCTGAGTGTGAAGAAAAGAGTGTCGTGCGCGAGCAATTACTTCTCTTGCGCAGGAAAATGAAGTTCCTGTCATTTACAAGGGGCCACAACATTCTCCTGAACATGAACATCCTGCTGATCCAGACGACTGCGCAGCTGAAGTTATTAAATATCGAATCAAGATTGAAGCTGACGCGCATCCTGACCGACCACCATCCGCGATTGTAAGAGATGAAATGCGCGACCTGTCTGTGCGGGTTCTTGCTCGACTACCTGAACGCGAAAATCTTAAGGGAACGATGCGTGCGGCATGGCGAAGGAAATTACCGGCAAATCCACGGACATTGGGCGATCTTGGTGCCTTGCCTGAACGATTCAGCAACACTCTAACGGGAGAGCGTTTTCTGATCTTTGATTCAAGAGAAACGGATGAAGCTGGTAGAGTAATTGCCTTTTCAAAGCGACGATACTTGGAATTGTTGAGAGATAGCGATGTGTGGTTTTTAGACGGGACTTTTAAGGTCTATCTTTCGCCATAAAAAAACGAATTCATGCTTTTCGTGTATTTTTTTGTCATCTTTCCAATGGTGCAATTAGCTTTCGGAAAAGTTGTTTTGCTTTGCGAATAAAACGAAAATAATGAAACAATTTATCAAAAAAGTTAATTTATCTGTTCAAAAAAGCCAATTTTCCAAAAACTAATCACACCAGTGGAAAGATGAGGAAAAAAATACACAAAAAACTTGTATTTGTTCATTTTTATGGCAAAAGCCTCATGCATGAAAGGAAAAAGGAACGTAAAGTGTAGCGAAAAAACAGTCCGCGGCACTCGAAAACAGCCGACTGTGCCCACTTTCCCTCTTCACCGCTCGAGAAAATCGAAAAAGTCCCTTTTTTTAGAGTCAACTATTGTGTAAAATCGCGAGATCTTTCGATCTAGCTACTCAGAAAGTCAATCGGAGTTGAACTCTGTAAGTTATAACGTATTTTATCTTCAAGTCCATTTTTTGAGGTTATGGAGGCATATTTTTGCATTTTCAACCTCACCAGTAGAAAACTGAGGTAAAAACCTATCGAAATCCTATTTTGGTTTATTTTTCTGAATTTTATTTAACCCTTTACGAGAGAGTTGAAAGCCGAGCAATCCGGCCGTTTTCGCTGCCTTCGCGTGGCGCTGGGGCATTATTCGCGTTTTCACCCATATAATGTAAAGAGGAAAAGATTCCAAGAAATCAAAAAAAAATCGTGTTGATACAATAAATATAGCCCAAGATAGAAGCATTTGAAAATCGACAAAATTTCAATGGAATTTTTAGTTGCGATAATTTTGTTGCCGAGTGTACTTACAAACTTTTAAATAATGGATTTTTTTGTCAAAAAGCGTTTTTTTACTATTAAGAATAGTCAAAAAAATAAATGAATTCTTACCGATTTTTTCCATTTTTTTCCATTGTGTTAGAGAAATAGCTTCTACGCCATAGTAAAAATGTGATAAATACTTCATCCAACCGATCAATACGGGCAAATTACTGAAAATGAACAAACATGAAAACTCATAAATTTACTGATTTTATCTTATTAAATATTTGTTTCATTTTACATCTATAATTTAATATTTAATATATGAATTGAGATAATAATGGTGAATTGTTTACGTTTTCTTTTATTAATTTATTAATATATAAGTAGCAATATTTTCCGTTTTTAAGTCAATAAGAAAAACAAAAAAATAAAAATGCATGTTCGGATCGCATATAATATCGTAAGTTCGTGATAAATGATTGCGGCTACGGTTAAAAAAAGCCATTCAACTGATAGAAATACGCCTAATATAACATAATATTGGATTGATATCTTTCACTCTTGTACAATTTTATCGATAAATTTTACGAAGAACCGCGGTAGCTCAGTTGGTACAGCATAAGGGCGAATTACTACTGGTTCCAGGCCGGCCATATTTTTCGTTCTGTCAATAATTATTAAAAAATAAAGACCAAGTTGGGGATCATCTCTCGATGTTTCAAACTAAGTTAAGTACAAAAAATTTAATTTTTGTGATGTTTCCAAATTCATATTCAGCTTTTCGTGATTTAAAATCGAACGGTATCGCAATGGGCACTTTTTTTGTAAGCACAAATGATTTAAATTTGCTTCATGGACTGTAAAGACGATAGTTTAATCCAAATAAAATACTGCATTTACTACCGATAAATATATACAAGTAGATAAAAAATAACAAGGCGTTTTAATATATGCACATGTATCGTAGTCCTAATGAAATTATGTCAATGAATCAATTTATATTCTGCGCTCACTAAAACATAACTTACCAAAACTAAGATTTTAAAATATCTCTTTTACTCTATTTTATTTACAATCTCTCTACAATTATTAATTTATATCTGTGGTGGAAAGGCAAAATGATTCAAGTCTATTTTTATGGAAATCGATATTATGATGAAAAACAACCATATATAATGTCTGCTTTAATTTACAAGGGTCAGAATAGACGAATGAAGATTCTAATGTTAGTTTCAACATCGTGCATAACGACAAACCCAAAAACAACAGAAATAATTTGATTTGAAAATGAAAGAAAATGATATTGAAACATCTACATGGCTTTCTCACTATACAGATGTTGTTAATTTAACTTTACGATTGATTAATACGCATTTTCGCCATTTCCAGTTGTGTCTTTTTTCGTTGTAAGATTTGATATCTGATACAAGTCTATGGTGAAAAGAGCTAACGAGATAACTCCATTTTTTCCGAAATTGAGTTTATGACATAAATTACCTATATGTTATATCTACTTTAAAGTACAAAAGCTGGAAATAGCACCTATCGTTAAATATGTAAATACTTGTCCTTGTGCCGTGCTATCTGGGTATTCATACGAGCCAGATAGACGGTTGCCGGGATCGAGGAGAAGGTGGTGAAATGAGAAAGGCAGATCTAAAGTTACTTATTTAGCTTTGTATTGGGGTTTCGGAGCTCGCTTGTAAGGCAACTTGCTCGGGCGACTGCTCTTAAAGATCTGAGCTACAATGTGTGCGCTGCGCGCTACGGCGCTTACTAGGGACGCTCGAGGTGTCAAGTCGACGCCGTCATATTACGGCTGGTGACGGTGCGTTTACCTACAAATATAACACCGTGCTTAACGAGATAAGTCTATTTCGCTGCAAACGATTCCCAGTCAAACGAAATAAGTACACCTCCGCGATCCCCGTACTGCAATACTGAGTCTACTTTGATTTACTCTACTGGAGTGGATGGTCGAATATCATCTACTTTAAAAGAAATTTGAATTTTACTGTTGTCTTAATCGAACGTACCTAAATAAACATTTCAACTATTACGTGTGATTTGCGTAGACGCAACAGCAGTATACACTGAAAACAATTTTATACCCAAATCCAGCGAAAGTGGACAGCTGGATCAGCAAAATTTATTTTGCTGCCCCAGCCAAATAATTTTTCTGCAGCAACAAAAATTTTCGCCGCATCTGCTAAATGATTTTGCTGGGGCAGCAAAAGGTTTTGTCGTGGCAGCAAAACCATTTTGCTGATTCAAATGACTACCTTCACTGAATAAGCTTGGGCACAAGGACACTCGTAATCAATCAACTTGCATTGAAAGTCCCATGAACAGCACAGAATAGCACTGGTGGCGAGCAGCTATATATATGTAATATAACACGGTGACGTGTTACGCGACACATCGGCCAGAGCCGAGTCCGGTGGGTGATAATCCCTTTCCTTTCCTTCACCCTAAAGTCCGTCGCGACATAATGATTACGCGAGTCGATGCGTACGCGAAGCGACCGCGAGAGAGAAGTATATCGGGGAAGGAGAGCACGACGCTAAAATGAAAATCACGTGATCGAGACCGTCTGTGCCAGGAGCAAACGACGCTTCTGGCGCTTTGGGCCTGTATAGCGGGCTTGTGATCAGCGCGAGGCACTCTGTCTCAGGGAGCCTTATAGAGCGAACGTGTACGGAATACCCTGTCGGTGATATTGCGCCTCGCTACCTTTATAATACGCGAGTGTGTGTGAGCTGCTGCGTTGCTGCCAAGGTCCTGCTACCGCTTTCTTGGGTCTAGGTCGCCCGGTGTATTTGGCCATCCAGAGCTCGAATCAACAACGAGTAAGTCGCGTTTCAAGCATTTGCCTGCCAAGTAGAGCTCTCTCTCTCTCTCTCGTCGCGAATTCCCATAAAATCTAGATCCTCACCCACCGAGTAGAGTCATCATTTAGCCGAAGCGAACTAAATCGAGTCGTAAACTTAATCATTGTACTCTTTGTATTATATTTAATTGTAAATCATTTGGTTCTTGATAAGGCGTCACCTCCGTGACTGGCGCTAAATAAATCACCTTATTGTAACTTTTACTATTAAATGATACGCCTGATTATTGAAACAATCCTGACTCCCTTTTCAGCAGTCAAGAAGAATGAACGGGCCACATCTTGCCCGAATTGGCAAAACCATTACAGTAAGTAGCGGAGAGCAACGGACATCGCGCGCTCGCGCATGTACAAGAGTTGGTAGCTGCGTATATAGATAGACACAGATTCAATACGAATACAATCTATCTATACTTATAATTTTCATAACACCTTCTGCATAGATACGAGCACGAGTAGTCGGCGGCTGCTTCGACGCACACACAATAATCAACTCACAACTTGTCAATCCAACACATGCTGCATAAAAACACACTCACGCACACATATACACGTACGAATACGAAGAGCACCGCGTAGCATTGCTGGTGGTTTGAAACGGCGTGACAGCTTTTCAGAACGAGCTCTAAAATCGCACTGATTTCGTTACTGCACACACAAATATAAACACCCATTGCAAAATGCATGAGTTGAAACAACTCGCAACTCAAGTGTTATAGATGCACGTATGCATACGCGATTGATCACATAGGGTTAAGCAGCTAGTACCTGACCACTTAAGAAATCATCATCTAGTACCCGTCCATTTTCTTATAATTTTCAATAAAATAACTCGATTCGTCTCATAAACAATGAAAACTTGTAGAAAATACTCGAGTTTATCAGAATTCACGAAAAAAGATTCCAAAAAATTCAGTTTTCTTGTACCCGACTACATTTCAACACGGTATATTTTAATTATTCTTCTTACATCAACTTTTTTGACACAATAAATGCATTAATTCGATAGTGAAGGACTAAATACACGGCAATTTAATAGTTTACAATTAAATCTAAAGGTCCTATGACTCGAATAAAAGTTTTCGGATACTAGAGGGTGGTCGGGTACTAGCAGGTTTACCCTACTTACACGAATGTAAACGATTTTAATGTCCGTTACAACGCGACTTGACATCGTCAAATCGCACACGGCACCAAGCTGCACAATCGAACACGAACGACAACGCTCCGCTGACCGCTACTCGAAGGTACAAACACACACACGCACGCACATACACAAATCAACACGCGCGCGAGCTGCCCAGTGGCCAGCACGTCTGTCGTTACTCCAAAAATGCAGAAACACATAGTTTTGACTGTTTTTCGACCTTTTTGCACTATGTCAGCTTATACGAATCCTGGCCACTCGGCAGATCACGCGCGTGTTGCTTCGTGTATGTGCGTGCGTGTGTGTGTGGTTGTACCTTCGAGTAGCGGAGCGTCGTTGTTCGCATTTGTTCGTTTGTGCAGCTTGGTGCCGTGTGCGATTTGACGATGTCAAGTCGCATAGTAACTTACATTCGAATCGTTCAAATTTGTATAAGTATATGTCATTTCGAAACGCACATCAAATTAACACATAAAAACGTGCGCCGAATTAGGCGCTGCGTTATAATAGACGTTTCTCCCCTATCTATTTTCTAACTTTTCACACACTTGCATAAATTTTTAATGCATATTGCATTTTTCCTATAGGTTTAAGTAAATTGAGGTAAAATATCGGGAAAATTGTTAAATTATATGAATCCACAACCAGGACCTAGTGACCTGCTTTTTTTGGCTTTTTTAGTGGTACTTTATTTTGGCAGGCAATTTCGAGCTTTTTTTTTTGCGGAAATTTAAAGCAGGAAGATTTTGCGAAGAATGTTTGCGTTTTTTTGTGATTGATTATTAAAAAATGGCGCTCAACTTTTTTCCCGCCAAAATTCAAAAAAAATTTCCCGCCAAAATTCAAAAATTTTTTCCTGCCAAATTTTGAATTTTTTCCCGCCAAAATTCAAAAAAATTTCCCGCCAAATTTTGAAATTTTTCCCGCCAAATTTTGAAAATTTTTTCCCGCCAAATTTTGAATTTTTTCCCGCCAGAATTCGAAAATTTTTTCCCGCCAAAATTTGAAATTTTTCCCGCCAAAATTCGAAAATTTTTTCCCGCCAAAATTTAAAATTTTTCCCGACAAATTTTGAAAATTTTTTCCCGCCTAAATTCAAAAAATTTTCCCGCCAAAATTCAAAAAATTTTCCCGCCAAATTTTGAATTTTTTCCCGCCAAAATTCAAAAATTTTTTCCCGCCAAAATTCAAAAAAAATTTCCCGCCAAATTTTGAAATTTTTCCCGCTAAAATTCAAAAATTTTTTCCCGCCAAA